GGTGTGAGTAATTCAAAAAGCGTTTTTCGTGCCAATTTCGTAATACAATTATGCGGGGATTAATTGCCAGCTCAAATTTTGGGAAGCCTCTGTAATCACACACACGGTAAGCCTCACGAGGTCGTAATGTATTAAAATCTATTTTCATTGGTAGCCACAAACATTTAGTTAAGAAATGCCTGTGATCGCTTCAAAGTTTATCCCCCAAATATTCAAGTGTTCTGATTTGCATAAATCATTTTTCATGACACGAACGATATTTTATGTTATTTATCGGTAAGCAAACAATATGCTTAGGCAGGAGAAGAAATTATTTAGTCATCAGTTGTCGCAGCTTGTTTGATGAGATCACGAAGTGAACCTGAACAGGCGCCTCACAACTCCTGACAGCTGCCACAGCGAGTCCTGCCACATCGATATCCGCTGCTCACATAAGTGTCGGGAAAACAATACCCCCCAGAAGGTGGTTTTTGGGCGATACCATCCTCCAGATTGGCTGACATTGTTGTCGGTTCATCACACGTGACTGGGTTGCCATTCAATGCGTCATTTGTCATGGCACGCTCCTTTGTATCCTGCCAGCGGTATTTACTTCAATGTGCCCATCCTGCAAAACGGATTCCTTCTGCGACTCTGTAGTTTTCCCGTCTGGCTGGCTGCAAAATGTACTCCATTTCGACCTAATGACAGAAGTCTCGCTCTCAGTGTGAAAAGCACAGATGGAAGCATTCATCTCGTGCTTTTCTTTTCGGCAGTTTTAGGTTTCCCCACTAAGAGGCAGGTAATGTACTTGTTTATTTTGCGGAAACTTAATTAAGGCGGCCAAATGGAATGTGCCGTGAGCGTGCTTTAATGCCTTGTTATTTACTAAAAAAGTAAAGGGTTTACGCACTTAAATTGCCTGCTCGGGCATGTGCGTAAATTAGCTAATTAGGGTAAATAAAATAAATATGCCAGCCAAATAACATTGCAGGTCCATTATAGAAAGATAAACATTTCTTACTAAATCTAGACACGCCAGTCGCAACTATCGCAGTAGCAGCTTGTTAGCACTACCAAAAGGGCCTGGAAAAAATGGGGGTGAACTTTATGGTCGTGCAGGCAGGATAAGCCCACGTCGCGTATGAGTTATGTCTGCCGAGCATTGCCCTTGACGGGGACGCCAACAAGTTGCAAGTCGTACGAGCGAGGGTCGCTCCATCAGGTGGCATAGGTTTTATGAATGAAACTGCCGACCGCAACATGTTCGAAGGCGACTCGAACCGGTTCGAACGAATGGCGCGATGATTTGACTTTGACCGCTTTGGTTTTTCAAAATCAGTTGCCAGAACTCGACGTGCCGCATCGGTTGAAAAGCGCGGAAAATTCAATTGCTAGCTATTTAGCTTAAGTGAAACTTTGAAACCGAACCAAAGATTGATGTTGCCAGATTTCCGAGCAACAAAGTGATAAGATAAACGAAAAGCACGCGAAAAGGGCAAATAAAGGCCAAAGTGTACTAAGTGAAATTCTAGCATCTAAGTGAATCCCAATATAATTTCATTTTTTGTCGAATTAATGCAATCTTAAAGTTAATTCGGCTATTTTATACAAATTCTACGTGTGCATTTATTTAGTGAAACATTGTATATCTTTACACTCGTCCTTAAAAAGCAACAAAATCTATTAATTAAATAAATAACAACTAACAAGGCAAGTTTTAAGTCAATTAAGTAAATTAACCAGTTTTACCAAATCCCATTAATGGAAATTTCACTTAATTATATAAAGTTTGTGTTCAAATAAATTTTAATAAAGTAAATTGAAAATAGATACTGATTAAAATAATTTAAAAAGTTGGATTTAATTTTCAATTGAATAAAAAACAGCTTTTTTGATCCCTTCAAATATTATTATGTTTAACTTTTGACATTTTATCAAAACAAATTTACATTACATTTCAAATAAAATTCAATGAAGTGCGGATTATTTTATATTCAGCTCAGAATAGCAAAATAAATTTCAATTAAATTTTGCATCTGATCAAACGCCGAAATTACTTTTTTTATGCGTGTGTATTTGGGGCTTATCTATGTGGTTAACCCAGGGCAATAATCAAAATGGCATCAAGTGCTCAAGAGCTCATGAAAGCTATGTGATGTTAAGCAAACAGTGAATTGTACACACATTGGAGAGATACAGATATATAATAAAGTACGCGTTTACTCCGCCAAACTTCCAGACTTCTGACAGGGCTGCCAAAAAATTAATGACATGTTAATATTTAAGCTGGCAAGACAAGTAGCCCGCGGAGTTCAGTTCAGTGTATTCCGAACTTCCCGTTTATTTGGTGAAGCGGCCCAACTGTGTAAATACCCCAGCTTCGGCTTAGACAAAGCCCAAAGTGTCCAAATAAATGTGAAATGTGAATACAAACATGAACACCAACTCAAATTCGAGTATTAGCCAAGTTGAATGCAAATATCCCGACAATTGGATGTAGTGAGCGTGTTCTTATCGTGAAAACTTTTGGGACACTGTACACTTAATGAGAATAGCCATGGAAATTCTCTTTTAAAAGCGACTCTAGATCGGGAGTGAGGAATTGTCTGCCTGCAGTTTGTTGGCCAGCTTATGAACTCGGGAAGTAATTACAAAGTAGCGCCGTAAGAATAACAGAGAACTGCTTTAGGAATTAAAGCAATCTTAGTGAATGGGCAAAGTTTGCGGAAAAACAACTCGGAAAAAAATGAACTGTGAAAGAGGCTCAACCGAAAATGCTTTTCATTCGCAGAAACTTTTGTTCTTAGGCCAAACTTTCGAAAATCACCCAAAAACAAAGTAGTTAAATTCATGTATATATACTTTTTTCAATCATCACCATTAATTCCGGCGTTCAAAGAAATTCAATGTCAGCAAGATTGAAAAATATACATACATACATTATTTCATCAACTTGCAGAGTTGTTACGTATACGCCCCGCTGCTCAAATAATAAATTTCAGTTGCATATTCATACATGCACAAATTTATTTATTTGCTTGGCATTTTGTAAAAACAACAGATTGAAAATCATTTTTTTTGCAAATGCAAATGAAAGTAAGTTAATTTTAAAGCATTGCAGTTTGTAGACAAATAATGCTGCACTTTTTCAGACTCGATCTGATTGCGAATCAGAAGAAGCAATCGTCTAGACTGTTTGGACAGGAATTGCTTTTTTCTGGGTCTGAGGCTTTTAATGCTGGAATGCAAATCAATCAAAATCCGTGCAAACAATTGGCTAAAAAGTTTTTTGCTCATCTGTCGCCGCCATGGGGATTATAATCGGGAACCCAAGAATATGGCACAGATGTGCTTTTCGCTACTTTTTCGGGTCCCCGGGCGCTGGCCTCGACTGCTGATCAATCAAATGCGCATTTGTGTATTAATCGCGTTGATTAAACGGCCTGCGAGGGTGACGAGCCAAATGGGGAATGGAAATTTCACTTTAAGATACGGGCAGCGGCAATCAAGTACAAATTGCTTTAGTGTCACCGAGCGGCGCAGGTCATGAGCTATTAATCTGGTTCAATCGAGTGGCCAGATTGCACACACGGGTAATTAGCGATGAAACACTGCCATCAACTTGTCCATCCGCTTCACATTCGAGCTGGTCCAATTAATATTGTATATTTCCATCGAATTGCCTCTATTGAGCAGATATATTTTGTTTCGATTTGAAAGCATGTATTTTGTACACGCATTCCGCTAAATTGGGTTTATTGCTTTTCCATTGGCGGAGGGTACGCAATAACAAAACGCAAACCAAACGACCAATTTAATTTATGAACATAAATTAATTTGGAAAATGAAATTTTATGGAATTTTACTTTGAACCTACACTGCAGAAACGGCAGCATGGTCAAAGTCGAGTTCTAAGGCTAAGGCAATACTGAAAACATCGCTGTATCTATTAAATTGAAATTGAGCTCGCTGCAGCACCTAAGCGCGAATACTCAAGGTTAGTAATTGCTTCCGGGTAATTGCAACCGCACAGGTCAGCGGCGGATCCAATTATGAGATTGTAGTCATTATAGTGCTGCAATATAAGCTCAATCAGCTGGAATCGGCCACTTGAGCCATCGAGTAATCTAATTGGATCTCATCCCAGGGGGAAGCATTTGGCTTTCTTTCGACACTAAATTGCACAGATTTAGTTGGCTCAACTTTTGCATCGAAAGAGAAATTCAATGTAGCGATTTAAGCCAACATTACAACTCGTACTGGTTAAAATTGCATGTTGATATCAAATTAATGTGGGTTATGCTTTTGTCAACATTTAAATTAAAATGGTATTTGTATAGCGAGAAATTGTACACTGGATTTTAATTTGCATTCCTAATGGATATTTAAAAGGACTTTAAACTAATTTGTTGTAACCGCTCTCCTGTCATTCTGCCTTGCTAATTGGTTTTCTGAATGGCACCTAGGCAATCTCTATTCGACTTTGGTCGACACCCAACATATATTATTTCCATTGAAAACAATTAAGTTAACAAGTCAGCTGAGTGAAAATCTTTTAAGTGAACGGTTGAGAAATGTTTATTATTGAAAATACGGCGTGTGCTTTAAAGATAACTTTGTAAGTACATGGTTGCATGGCCAAAGCAGTGAAGTTGGTTTTAATCGTATTTAAATTACAATATGCTATTTAATATTATTTCGCATTTTGAATTGGGAATTCATATTCTGATAAAAATGGAAGTAATGTATATTTAATATGATTAAAAGTCCGCCTGCCTCGATTTATTCGCGTCTATGGAAACTCGAAGCTTATCAACGCTGGCAGTTTTAAGTATTAAATTACGCAGAAGCTCATGAAATCAATGATTGCCTTTTCCCAGCCAATTTAATTACTTTTTTTTTCTCATGTACTCGTTCTACCTAGAAAATAAAATTAAGGCTACTATGAATATTAAAGCCAGATGCTTTATCGAAAGCACACTAATGTTTTTTTTAACTTTTATTCTACTTGCAGTTAAAAGTTATAATGTCGGTAATAAATGATTGGGAAAAGTAAAACTACCAATGCACTTGAGGGCATTCCTTGCATAATCAAATCAAGATGTAAAAGAGTCACACCTACATGGACTAAGCCAACCGTAAAATTACCTTCCAAACTCAGTAAATTAACCAATTAAGGAGAAATAGTAACCAAAATGGAGGCCGAGTGGGGCTTGGATGACCCGTCCGCCTCCTACGGTCGCCAGCCCTCCGTTCCCAATTCCTCGATGGACTTGGGTTCGGATAACGAGGTGGCCAGCAACTGGTCGGCGTTGGTCAACATCACTCGACTGGTGGCTGCCGCCGCTCCGGAAATCGCCAACTTTACGCTCAATATGCTGGACTTGAGTGTGGGTGGGGGTGTAAGTGCGGGTGTCGGTGTGGGTGTGGCCACGGATATAACCAATCTGAGTGTTAGTACCACGCCCCTGCCCGCCTACGCGATCGCCAATAGCTCCTCGCTGGCCCACACGAACAACCTGCATGAATCCCCACCGATGGCGGAACAGGTGCCCGAGCACGTCATGGACCACGCCCCCCAATTATCCCGATCCGGACTGCTCAAGGTGTATGTCCTGACGGTGATGGCACTCTTCTCCCTGCTGGGCAATTTGCTGACCATCTGGAATATATACAAGACCCGCATTTCGAGAAGAAACTCGAGGCACACGTGGAGCGCCATATATTCGCTGATGTTTCATCTGTCAATTGCCGATGTCCTGGTCACCTGGTTCTGCATAATCGGGGAGGCGGCCTGGTGCTACACGGTCCAGTGGCTGGCCAACGAGCTCACCTGCAAGCTGGTGAAGCTCTTCCAGATGTTCAGCCTCTACCTGAGCACCTATGTCCTGGTGCTGATTGGAGTGGATCGGTGGATAGCGGTCAAGTACCCGATGAAGTCGCTCAATATGGCCAAAAGGTGTCATAGGCTACTAGGAGGGACCTATATCCTGTCCTTGGTGCTCAGCTTGCCACAGGTGAGTTTTGATAAAGAATGGAATTAAGTTCTTAGTATACTAAGTATATGGACTGCTTGGTCCCCTTCAATCAGTTTACAATATTATTTCATATTAAATTTCTTATAAAACCATATTTTAAATCAATAAAGAAATATCTAAGGACTTTAAAACAACTTTCTTTGTTTAATCATAAATGTTTTGTTTGAAAAAAGCATGTAAATTGTTAATGAAAACCTATCAAAAGTATGAAAATTGTTAAAGACTTACAATTGAATAAAGTAGGAAATGAATTTGTGTCAACAAGAAAATTAAATTTGATTATATCCGACTTCTTCACAATTTCTATAGACCCAACAAAAATGCAAATACAAAGCCCCAGGATAATAGATCTCAAAATGAGACAGTTTATTGTAGACAAAAAAAAAGGGCTCAACCTTTTGAATTTTTAAATGTTTGGTTTATGTAAATTCATTATTAAAAAAAATGCTTTTCTATAAAATGGATTTACTTCAGGGCAAAATGAAAGCGTCTGCTGGGTATTCCTTTCCAAGAAAAGGCAGTTTCAGGAAGGCTTTTTCGCGTCAAAGAACTTTTGAGATAAGTGCGGCGAAGGCACGCTTATGAAAATAATCTGGCCCACTTGCAGTCGCTTTTGGGGGGGCGTTCCATTACGTTAAGAGTAAAGCTGGGGCTCATCGCCCACTTCAGTTAGTCCGCGTGCTGATGAAGTTGAAGTAATATGTTTACTTTACACCACGCATACGCCCCGTGGCAGGGCGCAAATAGTCTTGAGTATGCTCCAGAATGTGTGCAGACATTAAAAATGATTGCCTTTCGCACATTAAGTGTGCACTAAGTGTGGCTTCAGGCCGCCCCGCTGCCACGCCCACACACACACACGTGCCGTGGACGAGCGGATGCGGATGCGGATTCGGATTCGGATGCGGATGGGACAGCCAATCGAATTCCGGTTGCCCCACCAACAAAGGGTTTTTTTGGTAAGAGACAACAAAAAAAGGTCGGGAATCCGGAATCCTTACTGCCGGCAAGTGTCTGACTGACGACAGACATTATTCATATTCCCGATTCATTGTGTGCAGATAGGCTGGCTGATATATTCGTTTTCCCTGCCAGCTGGCAGATAAGACTGAATGGGACTGCATTAATGGGAATCCCCCGCTTTGTTCTAGGTCTTGGCTCCAGCTTTCCGGCACATTGATTGTATAATATATGCCGCTTGTCTCCACACTCCGATTGAATACTTGATTCGCTGGCCTGTCCTTGATTTATAGCCTAGGGTGAAGTTCCTGCATGGCCAGCTCATTTATCAGATTAGCCGGAGTGCTCCTTCAGGAGCAACTTTCAGTTCAAGCGGTGTCGCCAAGGCAGGTAATTAGAGGAGAAGCCACTTCAAAGTTTCCGAGGGGCTGGAACTAATTTAGTTTGATTGAAAAGTGGCTGCTGAAAACTTTCCTACGCTCCTTTGTGACCCTCTACTTGAATATCAAGCGTTGGCCTGCCATAAATTCAAGTGGGCACAAAGGATTACCAACTTATTCACCTAAGCGATCCCAAAATAGACGAGTGCTTACGATTAGCATTAGGGACGTGGAAAGTTTCCCTTATTTTTCCCACGCAAGCTATGCAACTTTGACATTTTCTCTTTTTTTCCCTCTTCCATCGCGCCCAAATGTATGCTATAATTTAACGCATTTAATAAGGGGAATTAACCACACTAAAGCCATTCTTCGCGAGCTGTGTTTCCTTTTATCTGAATAATATATTGCATGAAGAAATAATTGCCGAATCGAGGCGAGATTATGTTTGCCACACTTTGCGTAATATGTGTGGACTGGTGGGTGTGAAAAGCATGTGCGTGCGTGCTTGTCAAAAAGACTGACTTGTTTAAATGCCAAAAAAAATGTCAAGACTAATGACATTTGGATGTTTTCTTCCCACTCACCGTTTACCCAAAAATTTGTCAGATTTTGAAGTGGTTTGGGGTCGGAGATGAAGACTTCTAAAACTGACAAACAATAATGAAAGAGGACATAATGTATTGGCTTGCATTTTATAATAGGGTCCGAGTTTGTTAAACTGTCAGTTAAGTCGTTAATATTTAATTCGTCTGGCTGTGGCCAGCATCAAAAGCTATTAGGATATTGCAGTATCCATTTTTAACAGCCGCCAATTTTGTTACATAATTAAAGAGCCACTGTCACCCAATTAAAAGAAACTTTGCAATCATTATGCCATTTTTATGGTCCACTTTTCGCCCCCAACCAAGAAGACTGTCCGCGGAAACTTTCTTCATTTCGTTTTATTAAACATGCGACATAAAATTTATGCGGCTCACAGACGTGACAGCCAAGGCGGATCGGCCGAAAACATTCTGGCCAGAAATAAGGGAAACATTTCAAACAATTTTCCGGACAACTTTTCCGATGTCACACGTTCATGCATCAGCCAGCACATGTTTGTAAGCAGCCACATCGAATCCAATATGAGACGCACCGCTGAGCTCGTCGGTTTCAAATAAAAAAATCGAAATGAAAATTCACTTCGACTGCCAATAAACAACAAATGTTTTCAGAAGCAGCATTTATTTGGCTTCCTTTTCCACCTCTCAGAAAAATACGGATTCGCACACACACCAACATTTCTAGCAAAATAATACTCAATGTGCTTTAAGTCAGCTCAAGGAATATACATACGGCAGGCAACATAATAGAGTCAGACACCAAGAAATTCACAGAACTCCAGGGCAGTATTGTTTGGAATTTAATTGCAATAACAACGCACAAACAATAAAAAAAATTACCTTTCCTAGAATCAATTACAAATTGATGGAGAATTATTCTAACAGCTTAAAAAAAATTTGTTAATTCCGCATTTAAATTAAGCTTCACGGTTTTTATAAGCCTGAATTTATTATTATAATGGAATCCTCAAAGCGAGCTAAGCCGGCAAACCACAAATGGGTCTTAGTACTTTAAGTACTTTCAGAAGCCAATGTCAAAATTTCTTTACACTGCGTTGTTCTACAAATTAAAATTTAATGAATCTAAGGTACCTGAACACAAACATCTGAGTAAAACAAAATCCAGTAATGTAATTTGGTCAGAAATACAAAAGTTCTTTCAAAGTGTTTTCCTAGCAATGAATGCATTATACAAACCCTTTTCATTTCATTTCCAGGAGGCGTTTGTACAAAGTTTTTGGTGCAACTTGCAAGTTCTGTTCAAATTATGTGTAAAATTGTTTTTCTGTTGAACGCTCTTTAAGCTTTCTAGTGAAAACCAAACATAGAAATACATTTCCGAAAAGTTTGTTTTGAAAGTTAGTTCAACAGTTTTGAGGCACTCAGTTTTGGAAGGCATTGTTTGGAGGCAGCAAATAAGGAGCCACAATTATCGTTTTTTGCATCTGGTTTTTTCCTATTTGGCCCTGACCTACATCGATCTAAGTCCTCTATTTTGGGCAAGGCAATGGCTTGGAAGTTATAAATGTGCGAAATTAATAAAAATCAACCATTATACGATTATCCGCTGGCCGTTAGTCCCCGGGGTTTTATGAAGTTTTACTACACCGCTTAGTTGCTCGTGGCAAGTTCCTCCATTTGGGTCAGCTGTTGACACAGCCACGGACAAGGAACCCATAAAAACTGCAAATAAAAATACTTTTAGCGTATTAGTTATGCGCCGGCACATCCATCCACAATATTCGCTTTATCAGCTTTCGCCAGACCTGAATTTTCCAAGCAGGATTTTCCTCGAGCTTAGTCTTTCTAGGAAGGTGAAAAGTAACGTATTTCTCATGAATTGAACGGAGAGAAATATATAACAATTGACTATTTACTGGCCAACTGAATGGAGTTCAGGAAAATGTTCACTCAATTACGGACATATTCAGACTGCACAAGGAAGGCAACCAAAGGGGGTTTAACTCATAACTAAAGTCCTTTCCCCCCAAAATAAGGAGCGAATCAAAGGATATATTTGCGTCAGCAATTTGTTACTATGAGTCGCTTGTACGTTTCCATGAAAACATGTCGCATTTACTTTCCTGTTTGGTGCAACCAGTGATGTGTAGTCTATAGAGAAGTATTATTGCATTACTTCTTATTTTAACCAGGCGTTCATAATACGTCTTATTTATATATCATTCAAATAAATATCATATTTATATGTTATGCTTAATTAAACATACATTTTTCTTTTAAATAAATAACTTTTTAATAATACACATGTATTCATATAATATTAAGTTTAGTAGACTTGGAAATAAAAGATTTGGGTGAAGAAAACGTATATCAAATTGCTAATTGGATATTTAAAATAAATCCCCTTTAAAACTTAATAGGCTGCACATAAAACTGAAATGCTAGGACATTTAAAATATATATTATTTTTGTAATCGCAATTAAAAATTGCTAACTTTCAATGTCTGTAACAAAAGTATCAAGAATTCGTAAAAATCAACTAACCTTTAATTCCTTTCTTCTTTCTACATTTTCGCATTTTCCTTTGATATTGCCGGATATTACTGAAGTTCTTCATTTTCCACGTGGCACGAGGACCTTTCGTGGAGGAGTTCTACCAGTGCGTCACCCACGGATTCTACACGGCGGATTGGCAGGAGCAGATGTACGCCACCTTCACCCTGGTTTTTACCTTCCTGTTGCCTCTGTGCATCCTGTTTGGCACCTACATGTCAACCTTCCGGACCATTTCAAGTACGTTTTTGTTTGTTTTAAGGAAACACGGATTATCGTAGTAATTACTTTATCCTGATATCCATTAGGTAGTGAAAAAATGTTCCAGGGATCGAAGTTGGCCAACTATTCCACGGCAAAGCTGCCCACGCAGACGAACCGCCAACGGCTGATACACAAGGCCAAAATGAAGTCGCTCCGCATTTCGGTGGTGATCATCATAGCCTTCCTTATCTGCTGGACACCCTACTACGTCATGATGATTATGTTCATGTTTCTCAATCCGGACAAAAGGGTGAGTGTTAAAGTTTCCAATTCCACGAAATTTCCGGCGAGCTGAATGACAAGCAGATAGGATTCCCGGTATTGCCCAAATGCCAAGGCACATCAATCAGCAGTCGATTTGTCAGTTTATTTCCAAATGCCGTGGGTGGAGAATCCTTTGTTGTTTTGTCCAATATTTACGGCTCGGGGCTGTTGTAAAATGCGGGAATTAGGAATGGGGATTGGGCCCACTCGCAGATGGCCAATCCGTTTAGGGCCGCAATCTTTTCCACGCTTTTCAACGGCCCAACGCACATAAAAATGATTTCTTATGCTCAATTTTTAATTAATCGTTACGGCACCCGACCGGCCGGTCGCAATTTTTCCTTAACGGCGCCACCGGACACGGCGTCCCAACATTGATGACTTGCCAGAGATTGCCCGTAAAAGCAGGCCTTGGTGGAAGATTAAGGTCGCTCCTCCGCGAGAGGGAATTATAAAAAACACGACTCGGTTGGCCACAGTCTGAGTATCCTGTAAAGTTTAGGAAAAATAATTAATCAGAACAAAATGTATAGCATTATAGAAAAAGTATAGCACTTTTCATAATAGATGAGAGAGTATTTTCATTTATAAATCATTATTCACTAATTTTGAATTGAAAATAATCAATGTGTAATCTTCATTACCTACACCCTTTGTTATCAATTGGACTTTGTATTTACATAGTGTCTAGCATTAACTAAATAAATACTTACTTATATTTGTTTTCGATAAATATAAATTTATTTAAATATTTATAAGCAACTCATATATTTAAAGTTGAAATATTTCGTAGCGCAAAAAAATGTATAAATTCAAATCGCACAGTATTTGCTTTCATCTTAAGTTCAAATGCTTTCAGCAGAGAAATTGTTGTTTAAGCCACATGTTCAGAACTAAATAAATGCAAAACCAAGAACCATTTTTTTCATCCATTTTCCTAGAAATAGTCTCTCAATGATATATGAATACACAGTTCATTTGGGAAGTTTGGCTTAAGCAACAATGAAGCACCATTGAGCAAAGGGTATTCTGTGGCATTAACAACCCAATCCGACCGCAAAACGCCCACAATCTGCCTCTCAAACATAAAGAGGGTCTGAATAGGGAAATTAATTTAAATTTTACGCAATGCTTTCAGCTGGGCGACGATCTGCAGGATGCCATCTTCTTCTTCGGCATGTCCAACAGTCTGGTCAACCCGCTCATCTACGGAGCCTTCCACTTGTGTCCTGGCAAAGGAGGCAAGTCGAGTGGCGGCGGGGCCAACAACAACGCCTACAGTCTGAACAGGTGAGTGGACAAGCTTGTCACATTGATATAACATTGGCACCAAAATTACACCTGCAATGTGGAACTTTTTTCGTATCAAAATAGTTGCTTTTCACAAAATCATGATGCTTTCATGACAGTCAAACTAGTTTTGCTTATTTAATTAATTTGTTTTTGTTGATGTACAAATGAATAAATGAACTATTTGGCACAGTTGTTGAACGGTGCGAGCTCTGAATAAATTATTCGTATCCAAAGCTAATACAAATATGTGTTCACAGACTAACTATATGTGGGGATATGCTAATTGTTAAAAAGCGTTATCTCTTAATAATATAATATATTCCAGAGGGACTTATTTATTATTACAACATTCTGCAATTTTATAAAAATGTACAATTTAAGTCAAAATCAAATTTACCCAATTTATTCTAAGGATAAAAAAAAACGTTTATTTTAATTGAAATTTCATACTTTCCAAAATTAAAGAGAATTTTAAGTTGACTAACTTATTTTATTATTTTTACCTACTCAACTTAAAGTATCACCCATACACTTTACTCTGACTTATATGATTTTTCCACACCACTATGATTATTTTGATACCGCAAAAAGTACATAAAAAAGAGATTGGCAATAAACTGATAAATTTTTTCCGTCTTGTTTTTATCACCTTACCTCATCGTCCATTCCCCCACCCAATCCCCATATCCAGGGGCGACTCGCAGCGCACTCCATCCATGCTGACGGCGGTGACGCAGGTGGATGGCACAGGTGGCAGTTCCCGCCAGATGAGGGCCTTCCGCCAGCAGAGCTACTACCGGAGCTCGAGCAACGGAACAGGTGGATCCGGTGCTGGTGTTGGTGGTGCCCCGTTCAAGGAGCAGGTGGGTCTGCTGCATGTGGGTCCTGGCACGGGTCCCTCCGCTGGTGGTGGCTCCGTGTCCAGCAGTGCCACGCCGCAGGTCATCAGGAAGGGTTCGGCGCTCCTGGCCCGCCATCCCAGCTGCTTGCGGGAGCAGGAGCACCAACAACGACTCCTGCTGCAGGACAAGCCCTCCACCCTGGTCCTCAGCTACGACAGCCAGCGAGGGGGCGTGGGCGTGGGCGTGGCCAGCGGGCTGTTGGACAACAACGAGCGGGTGTCGAGCGTGTGAGAGCAGCTGGCGATGGCGGCGGCGGCGTTGGCGACGACGGATGCAGCGGATGCAGAGGATGCGGCGGATGTGGCGACGGAGGACGCCTGCTCCTGCTGCCATTGCCTGAGCAGGGAGCTGGTGCGACGGCAGCTAGAACTCCAAGAGCTTCCAGTGCAGTGAGGCGACTGCCAGAGGATTTGATCCCAGTGGTCCTGGGAATGGATTTCCCCAAAAAAAAGATGGGAAAAGAGAGTGTGTGGAGGCGTCGATGATCAGATCACCGGGGCGCGCAACTTGTGCTTAGTTAATGCTAATCGAGAGTTAAGTCTTCAAACACAATGGGTGTGCTTAGTACTCCTAAGTAGGATTAGAGCTAGTCCGTATGGAATGGTTGCCCTACACTGGGAGAAACTCAAGGTCAGGTTAGAAACCTTAAAAAAGTCACATATTTGGTGCCTGATTTTTCGGAGCAGTTTTTAAACCAGTCTGGCTAAATGGTCCGAATCGGTTTTGATTAAAATACCTTTCATTTAGGTTACCCAATAATTCATTAAAATACTAAAGAGATAAAGAAAATTATTTTATTATTATTTATAATATTAAGTTTATAAAAATTAGACTTTATGTTAGCAAACTTAAAACATATAGTTATCTAACATATTGCTCTTTGGCCCACAAATCAGGTTGTGAAATAAGGTTAATCCCCTAAAATAAAATGTTTTCTTATTTCGCTATAAGTTGATTTTATTAGAAGCTAATAAACTACATTAATTGCTTTTATAAGCAAAGTGCAATCAGGCCAGCTCAAACGCGATTTCAACTTAAATGATTTTTTAATTGGTTAATTAATGTAAAGACTTTAAATGAGCTTCTCCCATTAGCAGGGCAACATTGTAAAGTTAATTAAAAACATATATGTACGTTTTTCAATTTGTTTGTTCAATCCCGTTACTCAAAAATCAATTTTCTAATTGTGTGAAATATCAAAAGCCAAAAACAGGGTAAAAATAAAATTGTAAATATACGAAATTTATTATTTTCCAAAGAAATTGTGCTTGCCACATCTTTCATATAATGTTAAAACTACTGTAAAAAAGTTTGGAATAAAAATGAGTTCTTGTTCATAATAGTAAGATCTACAATTTAAGATTACCCATTATTTTATTTAATTTAAGAAACTTACCAAAATATTATCTAGAATCCAACTTCATGTTCATATCTTATAATTTCCAATTAGTGTTTAGTTAATTTTCGTTTCAAAGTCTCAAGGTCCCTTCACTTAGAATCGTATTTTTCGCTTGTACATGGCACTCTCCCAAAGGAATCCACAATTTACGACCAACTGGAAATATCAGCTAAAGCCGGAGTTACTTTAAACGAATTACACTGAACACCACAATTCAATTTGGCCGAAAAGTCCCTCGAGGCGAACGGATGTACTTGTGACGATTCCGGAGGATGGAGCATACACACATACGTCATTAAAGGAATCCACTGCATTATGGGAACGGTTGAGTTTCCACAAATCCGCATGTTTTTACGCTCATCATCTATCCTATCATCCCGTTTGCATATTCATGTGCTTGTACTCCGCAACTTCGGTGCGTACTTATGTATAAATAATCTGTGTCAAATTTGTATAGTTTATTTTTTAATAAAACCCGAATGATCCTTGCGAAACTTTACGAGCCAACTTTTACGCGCCACGCACACAGCACAGAGCACAACACGTTGATGAACTAGCCTGGCCTGGCAGTTCGCCGAGCGTGGGCCCATAAATCCAGCGGGGCTCACGTCCACCCCGAGCACGGGGTATATTACAAAATTTTATGGGCGGCGCAGGCGGAGGTCGCCCATCGCGTTAGGTCATACCCGGGGACACTTGCCCCCACTTGGGAGCCCCCAAAAATAAAACCATCCACTCCCACTCCATAGAAAAGTTCCTGGCCGAAATGCAAAATAATTTTTGCGAGCCGCCGAACAATGCGCCGCGAAGTCTGAACCTAGAAGCTGCGTCGGAAACAGGAACCCAATTACCACAAATAATGAAAGATGTACTGTGCTGGGGGGTTGCACGATTGACCCTCCCCACCTTTAAACTCGCCCTTCAATTATGCGCAGGCAGATGAGCGCTGAGTTTGCAACACTGAGCGAAAGATCCTTTGATTCCTTACAATCTCAGTTACTAAGTTCCTTCTGATAACACAAATGTTAAAGAAAATATTACAATTAATCAGTTCTTCTTGGATGAAAATTACTCTTTTTCTAAGAACTATATATTTTTGCATTAAGTGTATACTTTAACTTTCAAAACTTTGTAGTTTGGCCTAGAAAGTTTAATTTCATTACTTGGACTCTTCTCGACGAAAGAATTGTTTTAAAAAGTTTCATGAATGGTGGTTCTCAATTACACAAATTATTTTACTTTATTTTGTTATTAATTATTTGGTTTTGATGTTTTAAGAAGTGTTGTTATTAATTTAGATAAGTTACAACACTTTATTTAAGTTTTGTTTATGGCCAACTAAATTTAAGTTCGCCTTGTTTAATTCATTTGTAAAAAAAAATAAAAGTAAATATACCAAAACATGAAAACCTGTAATGAATCTTTTCATTGACCAGTTAAGGTATTTCAAATTTGGTTCTACAATTGAACTGACAATAATTTTCTCTCTGTACCTCTTCAACTTTTGATTGCTTGATTTTCCGTAAGGTTCCGCTGACCAACTGGCAAAGTTTAGAGCGCGAGTCCTGGCTATTCCAAAATGTAAATTCCGGGCCAAAGTGTGCCACGAATGCGTATTTCATTTTAAGTACGCATTCCATCCAACGAAGTAATTCGATGGCGGACAGGGAGGCACTTAACGAGCGGGTCGAGGTCCAGAAATTAAAAGCATTCCGCCGGGCGACTCCTCCGTTTTATTGAGGATAAAAGGTTGAATTCGAGGGCCTGGCAATAATAGCAATCGTAAAACGGTCTACAAGTACATCCCACTCTGGAGCCAGTGAATGTGTCTATCTGGTGATGTGTAGACAAGACATCAGAAGACATCGTTACAGCAATTATACAAATTTATGGACCATTATCAACATGACAAGAAACTTGGCCTACATATTCCCATAACACATGCTCCATTCGAGCGTGGAACGATAAAAACAGAGAAATAAAGCAGGAGGCTTACCCCCGGAAACCTCAAGACATTCTGACTCATCAGAAACTGATGGACCGTAAACAACGCAGCGACTTCTTACGGGGAATCCTCTTATTGGTTTTGCTTTAACAGAATTTCACTTAATTGTAGGGCAGATATTTGGAAACTATTTAAGGGCTGATCCTGGGCAGGTGCTGGGATTCCTGGGATTTCTATCTCGTGGTTACAACAGCCTCTTTTCGAGCCGCATCCTGGAGCAACTGAGTGTCCACCTCGTCGCCCGGAAGTTGCACGTAGCGTACTACGGAGCCCCGGATAAAGCAATTCTTAACGCTCAGCATATGGGGGTATTTATCCGGATCTGTAACGCTGATGTCCGTCAGCTTGATGTTCAGATATTGGTCCACCGAGTGCAGGGTGCCACATATACTACACAGAATATATACAAATTGGAGATAAGTTTTCCATTTTGCCGGCAATGTGGTAAACAAAACGGAGCTCACCTGAGGTCGTTCTTGAGTTCGACGACTACTTCTTTGCCCACTAGCGACTTGAAGAACGAATAGAAGAGCTGCGGATAGCGTAAACGTTAATTTTAATTGTTAAATTCCTTTTAAATACTAATTTATTACCATTGTTATTGTTTATTGCAGTTTTTGCGGAACGCGTTGTTGTTGGAGGTCTGGCAACGTCGCGTAATAGAGGTGGGAAAACATCGATATTTAATACATCGTTAATATCGATATCTCCGTCTCTAGCGGGTATTGAAACCACTGCTTACTAAGAAAAATGTAGAGAACTGCTTACAGAAAAAGTGTGAAAGTTCAACTGCTTACTGAGAAATGTGTCGAGAGGCACACTGCTTATAATATTTAGCAAAATGGCGGTTGCTTTAAAACAGACGGTTAATTTTCAAGTCTTCTTTGGGATATTGATTATTTAATGGGGTTAAATTTAATAAATGACAATATATATTTAGAGAATATTGATTGAGTTTTGGCGCAAGTCTTAACAGTAATATTTCAAAAGATTTTTTTTAAACAAGTTTTAATCTATATTTTTTTAAGCAAAATCATAATAAATAATAAAAAAGTACATTTTAAATTTGAATGAAATACTTCAATATTAATTAGTTAATTAATATTTACAAAAAATTATATCACTATTAATAACTATTTCTTAAGATTTTTTACTTCAATTTAATTTAAATAAACGACTATAAATATATTACTAGAACTTGATATGAAAATTGATTTATTTAATTTAATCGTTTGAAGAAACAAATTTACGACTAATTTTTGTATTTATTAGCTCATGTATCATGTATGCAAAAATCAATATTGATTAAATTCCGATTTAGGATTAGCCAATGACAAATATTAATAGTAACGGTGCGAGGGTATCAAAACAAATCGTTCAACAGCCAACCGAAAACAAGTTGAATTAGGAACGGCGAGCTGGGAATTCCTAGTGACCATAGCCCTGGCCCCGTGGTCCATCTGGGGATCCAGTGGTGCAGGTTCTCCGCCGGCGACGACCTTAGCTGGCATTTCGTATTCCATTTGTTTTGTTTGTTTCTCTGGCAAATTCGCATAATTATAGGTTGTTTTCGGCAAACGAAACGAAAATCCGATGGCTGTGTTTACTACGATTTTTCTATGTTTAATTCACGTCACTTGCCGGCGAAACCGGATCGTGAAAGTTGGCGGTTAAGTTCGGGTTTAACCCGAAAATGGGCAAACAAAAAAGCGGAGAGTCGTCGAGTCGGCGAACAAAGAATTTGGCAAACCCAAATCTCTTCATCCCAATCCCATTGTTAGTCGCAGCCACAAATGTAATTCAATCGTTTCCCAGTTTATTTCGCATCGTTTATGCATTCCTCTGCCGGATTCTCCGCTAAGTGATTTTTGCCAGCGGAGCGGAGCGTTCGACTCGAAACGCGGGGGCGATATCGTAAATTGACCGTTTCGGATGTGGGCAAATAAAATTAGCAGATTAATTCAAGCACTTCGCGAACTGAGTGCCGCCTAATCGGATTTATTGAAACAAAAACCAGTAAATATTAGGGATTACAGAGAAAACTTGTTAAACAAGTTACGCGAAACTGGAAAACAAAGCAATGTAATATTATATGTAAAATGTGATCAATCATTTTTCGATTGTAAGTTTTAGAAAAATGTAAATGCCTTTTAAGCTAAATTGTGACAGCTGCGTTAAAATAGATTAATTAAACATTCCTTTCAACAACTAAATATTAAATAGGAATTTTGGTTAGATAAGTGAAATATTTATTACATTAATTTAAAACCTCTATTAAAATAAACTATTGAAAAATATAAATGTTTTCTTAGATTTTATGAACAGAAAACAATTTATGATCATCTAACAATTGGAAGTGACGTTGATGCTGATCAAATAAATATGTACTTCTTCGTCTTATTTATTCAAAATATGGTTGAATAATAATTGGGAATTTCACCAAATAAATGAATTTTAACTAGCTAAACGCGTGCCAGCCACGAATTTATTTTGATATTCAATATTTCGCGATATACTTGTACACACCCAAATGGCCATATCAGTTGACAGCTTTTGGACCGATCATTGTGCCTTGTTAGTCACATGATTGGCATGCGGAAATTCCCCAAAATTAGCCATTGCCATATATGATTTAATTTGTTTAAAATCGAAATTTTCGGGATTTATGTAAATCACCTAGCTATCCATTAAAAGGAAGATGTGTTGTTTAATTCAAAAGGAATAGTGACCCTATTTCACAAGAGAACATTAATCTGCATGTTAATTACCAGGAATGTTGAAATTCTTGCACAACTTTGGTAGTTCCAATTAACTTAGTCATGCCAAAAATTAAATTAGTCGAAAACGCTTCCTTATCGCTTTTTTTGACTTTATCTGGCAGAAGTACCATGCAAACAAACAAATTAACAAAAATCTTGAGCATCTCATGCTTGATTTTAAAGGTATTAAGACAATAAAATACGATTTAAATTCTATTTCAATTCAAAGTTAATGATTGAGGCGATTCTAGTCTAGATTTTAAATTGAATTCCATTCTGATTATTAAAAAAAAGTCAAAAGCTTAGAATAATTTACGAAATATTTTAATAAAAAAGGCAAAGTTATGTAAAACCTACAGAAGTTAAAAACTTAAAAAGCTTTTTCACAGGCTGAGCACTTTCATTTAGATTGATGCGCAACTTTTGAGGCGTTTCTAGTCCGACAGCCCCAATTTGGCAAATGGAATCCCAGATCAATCAGCTAATGGCTCTATCAGGTATTCCCCAGAATGGTGGGCGAGCGACGGAAAAGGGAAAGAAATTTCTTTAATCCCAGACTCGATAAATTAATTTAACTCAAATTTGCATATTTAACACGATGGCTTTTGTTTACCGTTTGGGAGTAAAAACCCCGAGCATCGAAATCCGCATACGAGCAGAAGCTAATTCGAATCGAGTCTGGCGCCAAAGAAATTGCCAACAATCCATCAAGTCCGCTCCATGTGCTAATCACCATTGGGAATGCTGTGGTTTTTAATATATATCTATGTATATATATATATATATATATTAAATACATATATATAGGGGTATGTTTTTATTCGGCTGATCGGCGTGAAGATTTTATTACACTTTGCCGTCGCTACTGTCGCCGTAGAGATAGGTATATCCGATCCGGACGGACCGGTCTAGTCCGTTGCCGAATCGCGTCTATTTTCCTATGCCGATTATGCAGGAATTTAAAATGCGACGACGTCGTCTGTCGCGTCTCCAAGTCGCCACAGTAAATTCTGGGAATTTGACAGATTTTATGGTATATGACAACCCAATACTCGCATCATAAATTCATTTTAGTCCGGTCATTTAGTCGAGCCCACTCGAACTATGCAAAGAAGGCTGGAAATTAGTTGGTCAACTTGTTTTTATACACCATTTTTGAACTGGATCTCCCTTTTAAAAAGGACAAGCTATGGGGAATAAATATGTTCGGAAATCATGATTATTATAGTTACAAATTGCAATTATATTTTATGCATAAACTATTTAAATTTGTATAAATAAAAGCAAAAATAAATACTTTGCAAAAACACTTAACCTATGGTAGGATATATATAATATTTCTTATTTAGAATAAAAATGTATTTATTTGTAAATAAAAAATAAAGTTAATGACAAACGAATACAGCATACAGTCAAATATTTACCTTATTTTTGGGGGGTATATAACATTTGTTTTAATACTTTTTTTAGATATTAAATATTCATTCAACTTATTTTGTGCCACGAAACTACACACATATAACCATTCCATTTTAACGACAAGGACGAAAGTTGAGAGGCATAACTCCGCTGTTAAAACGGTGTTATAACCACTTGTCCTCGGCCATCCAGTTATGGGCCAAAACCAAAACCAAAACAAAAACCTGTGCCATGTTCCATGTTCCAGCAAAGTGAATGTTAACGATGGCCTGGGCCTGCTCATACATAATGCATCACACCCGAGCGGCAATTAATCAACAATTAATTTTTATATAAATTGATCGTTTATTGGCTGAAGGCAGAAATTACCTGCTCGCTACCGTGTGCGCCGCTGGGCTCGTCGATGGGGAAAAAGGCAATATTAATTACTAATTATGCGCGGCGTCAAAACGACAAAACTAAGGCACATACATATTTATCGATTTGTCTCTGGCTCCAGTCACATATGTATAGGATGTTGATGCCGGCCAGAATGTATGTTGCTCTGGGGAACGATGGACATATGGACATGTGGCGATGGCACGTAGGCCAAAAAGTTGGCAATAAAATGAAAAAACGAATAAACAATAAATCAACCGCAAATCGGCCGCTTCGAGTGGAATTTTTAGCATAGTTCATAGCTGGGGCGACCTTATCGCGATGTCAAAAAATCAGGAATACCATGGAACACTGCCAGTCCGGCCATAATTAATAAATTCCAGCGTGCGCCGCCGAATGATTCGCTCTTCGGTTCGGTTCGGGCCAAGTTAGCCGAGTTGGCCAAGTCGCGGCCCCGGCAAACAAACAACAAAACAAATTGACGTCACGCTGGCAAGCGAGATATGCGATCCTCGGCAAGTGCGACATACGTATCAAGGCTTGCCGGTGGAAATGGAAACGGGTTAAACGGGTACGAGTGGCAGTGCCAGTGCGATCCCCAGATCCACAGATCCCCAGATCCCAAGCAGCAAACACAAACAACGGGGCCTTAATCAAAAACGTTGGCTGGCTTCAAAACAACTCGAAACAATTGGGCTGATCGAGAAGTTGACGAGATGTCCTAGGAAACAATAAGGGATCTTTATGGAATATAAGTTAGTTAGAAAAGAAGAGGTGTTTTATAAGAACATAAATAGTTAAAATTCCAAAGAGTTCAGAATAAAGCATATTACTCATACGCAGTGTGTACTTTTAACCATACAATTTTAATGGGCTTTCATTAAAAGAGTACACTCATAGCAAAATTAACCCTAAAAACAAGAAATTCGACCTATTTTTGTCTTCAATGGCATCGCACCATAAATTCTAAGGTAAATTTTTCTAAAATTAAGGGCGTTCTTTTTTAAAATCTAAGGCAAATAGCCCTAAAAACAAGAAAAACTTTTCTAAAAAATAGAAAAATATTTCTTAAAAGTAGGGCATCTTACCATAAATTATACTTTTAATATTTATAAGTAATGGAAAAAGTATGTAATGGAAACTATAAATAAAATACAAATAAAATTATTTTTTATGACTATCAGTTATCTTTTAATAATATCACTCATACGTCATGTTGACTTGTAACCATTCAGTTTACCAAAATATGTAGTTAATATTTTAAAATTTAGAATATTAAATAGAACATAATTTACAAATATTTAAAAACATAAATATTAAAAGAACTTAGATATATTTGCTTATCAACAGCTTATGGGCTTCCCCTGGTGGAAACTTGTACATCAAGTATGTAAACTTATACCCGGCACTGTGTACATGTTCCTGGGATGCAATAAAAGCACTAAAAAGTCGGGAAGCGACTAGTTTTCATTAAGAGTTACGCCTTCCGTTGGCCAGAAGGTGGCGGCCGGCGACAAGTTGGCGTCAACCAAATGGGATAATAAGCACGCCAGTAGTAATTTAAATTTCCGAGCCACACCAGGTTCATCAACCTTCTAGATAAAAAAGTGTTCAATTCCTTAATGCTTTTATTTCAGTGTATGGGGGCGAGGAAAACCAGGAGAATTTGTATCAAACTCAGGTAAAATGCTGTTGACACCAAAACTTTTATGACTTTTTTACTGCTAACTGTTTTGGTAAATTAAACAAATGCATACTTTACCTTAATTGCAAAATGCAATTTGTTAATTAAAACCAATATTGGCTGTAATTCCCATTTATCATTGCAAACATTTAATACGCATTTGTTTTGTGCTTAAAAGTAATGAAATAAATACATATATACAACATATTCTCCTTGTTTTCTCTTTACCAAATATTTTAAAAATAAAATATTTTAGAAGTAAAGGTCAAAGCTGAGTTTTGATGAAACCATTTTGTCAGCATGTTTTCAACATATTAGTCACCCATATATCATTTGTTCTTTGAACTCCTACTCTTCAATCTTCAACACCATTTCAGGCCATTAATTGTTGACATTTTTCCTGAGCTCTTTGCACATCTTCAAAGCACCGACTTGGGCGTCAGTGCAGCCAAATTTGGTAAGATCTTTTAGCCGCATTAAGTCGTTTGGCCGTCCATTCGATGCGCCTCGACAATTGCCGGCTAAATGGGGCTCGGCTTGGCAAGAGGACTGCCATTTATGAAGATCAGGGGTGGGCGACCCCACATTCCAATACTAGGCACACCCCGCGGCAGACCCGTCTCCATTATTATTTTCTTGCCAGGCCAGGTTAATTTATTACGCAAAACTGCAAAATAATGCAGAACAATGGCGGGTAAAAGCATTTCGCCAGTGTCAGTACCATGGTGATAGCTCTCCAAAAGGCCGAAGAGTGGGACGGGGTGAGTGAGATTTATGGCGCTCGCCCAACTCCGGAATATCCCAAGCCCCCGCGACCAAAAAGAAAACATGTGCTTCGGTATCCATGTCGCGAGAGCCAGATCTGGAGAGATATAACTCGATCGGGGGCTCTCGGCGCCTCGCGATTCCGAGTGACTTAAATATGGGTGCCCCCAGCGAGGTAGCTTCAGTTGGTGACTGAATTTCAGCCCGTGAACAGCTCTTGAAAAAGCAAAAACACCTCAAGCTAAACGCGCAAAAACATCGCAAGTGCTCAAAAAAAAAATACGAGAGTGGAATCGTACAGAATCTTATCACATTTTTTAACAACAAACCCCAAAAAAACTCAACTACAAAATGCAAGTGGAAAAAGTTTGTGCCGCCATCGCGCTCTTCGCAATCTTCGCCAACGTTGTGGATGCAGCAGTCTACTCCCAGCCCGCCATCTTCCTTCCTTGTAAGTATTTTGCAAAAAAAGAGCTCTGAAAGTCTTTATTTTATCAGAAAAAATAGTTAGAGTAGAGATACAAGATGTAAGCGAGTTTTTAAAATAAAACATTCTGATTTTTAGATTGATTTCTAAAGGGCATTCATCTTATTAATTTAGAAAGGCAATCTTTATTTTTCCCTATAAGAACTACATTTGTTTTATTTTTATGTTTCAATAAAATGAAGACGTAGTTATTCCGTAATATATTATTAGATCATATTAGACAGCCCACATTAAAATCCATTTAAGCTAATAGCTGGAAAACAAATAAATGACGACCCCATCAGTTTAAGTGGAAAGAACAATAAATTTAATTGCGACATTGGGAAAAACGTGAGCTTTCCATTATTGTTTCGATTAAAACTCGGAGATGATTGCATTATTCCATTAATTCAAAGCTTGCTTATGGAGTTTTCTAATTAAGTTTCCAATTAATAGGCGACCTTTTCCAGCCACGAAAAACAATAAAAACTAAACATTGATAGTGACTGGCTGGCGATTTCGTGATTGATTTACGATTGTTTCAACGATTTTTCGAGGTCTTGCTTGAGCTCATTATTGGAAACTCGAATTCCAAAGAATTCAAGAATCATTTTTGATCATGGGCAGAACTTTGACGTCAGATGTCGGGCAGTATTTGTTTATTATTACGTAGCTGGACATGTGATTTATGTGTTGATATGTTTGTGATATTTGGCTGCTTTCGCTGACGTCAACAAACACAAATCGAAGTTATAAACAAAAGAAAACAATAAATTCGAACAGCGCAAAAGGCGAAAACGAAAAAAATCCAAAGCTGAAATCAGACGAAATTTGTCATGTTATTGGCCCCCTTTCGGTTGTGTAGCAGATTCAGATACAGATACAAATAGAGATAGATACAGATATGAATTTCGGTTTTTGGGTTTTTCGCATTCGCCAAAAATTAGCATAAGAAATGTGCTGATGCGATGGTTATTATTCAAGCGTTTGGCTAATTTGCATCGCTATGCGGATTTAAGTTAGAAAACTTATCGATTATCCCCGACCAGATCGCCAGATCACCAGATATTTTCCTGCTGCTGAATTATTCATGTGTGAAGGTCGTCCGACGTCTTTAGCTGGGAATTTCTGGCATCTCGGCGACTGGCTCACTAATCTATAAGAAATTAGCGCCAACTGCTTAAAAATAGGCGATGAGTTCACGCGTTCCGCAATTAATTGCACAATTGGTAGGAATGCGTGTTCTTCGTCTCTTCGAGTGGTAAATTAATGGCGAGTGTCATTAATCAAACTTACCTTTCTATTCGGTAATTTATTTTTGAACCCGACAACTCAACAATTCGCAGCCGCAGGCAGTTCGTTATAAATAAAAGCACGAGTGCGCCGTACGTCGTATGCGGTACGCTCCATCGCCATCTGTCAGTTCGGTCCAGTGCTCGAGGTTTAAAAATAAATGCCAGTGCCTGGCTGAAATCGCAACCGCAACCGCAGGCTGGCCATAGCTCTGGTTTCCGATGTATTTATATCCCAGCGAATACACTTGTGTGCCAATTTTCATGTCGAATGACTGTCAAGTTCGTGCCTTAAGTCTTTCGTTTGCTTCGCTTGTACAAGTCATAAATAATTATAAAAATAGGTCTTTCCTTAAGGGGCAAAAATTTCCATTGAGTTCTTCATGCCTCTGAAGAAGTGGGAGTCTATTGGTGTCTTGGATATTTTTACTTAGCTATCAGAAAATATGGTGAAATTTTAATTTTTACATTTTTTAAAAGAGAATTCAAACATTGTTTTGCATGGTAATCATTTTTAAAATCTGAATTACTCCCTTAAGCCGGAATGTTTTTATATTTTTTCGTAACTCAGTCTGGGATATGCATAAACACATTTAAATTTCGTTCGGACACAATCACGATTTATAGCCACTTCCTCATAAACTCGAAAGACGGGGGACAGCGCATAAATAAATCGCAGTAACTACGACAGCTTCGGGGAAGCAACAAAGAAGACTGGTACCACTTCCGCTTGCAGCACAATAAACTGAAAACAATTTTTAAACATTGCAACGATCGAGTGACCTATGTTCTTTGGATGTTGTTTTTTTTATATGAGAAGGAAATTAATTAATATTAAATATTGGTTGATATAACATACAGTTGTGAACCAGAGATTAGGATTTAAATTTGATAAGATTTTTAACATTTATTGATATAAAATACAGTTGTGAACCAGAGATTAGGATTTAAATGTGATAAGATATTTAATACTTATTGATATAACATACAGTTGTGAACCAGATATTGGGATTTAAATTTGATAAGATAGTTAACATATATTGGTATAAAATGCAGTTGTAAACCAGAGATTAGTATTTAAATGTGATATGATATTTAATACGTATTGATATAACATACAGTATATAATATTCAGAGCTACTTTTTTTTGTTTATACTTTTTATGTACTGTGTACTTAATCGCCACTCCCCTCTTCCCCGTTACAGCCCACCCCGGCAAGTGCTTCGACAAGCTGACCCGCAAGGCCCTGCTGCCCGACAAGGAGTACAAGCCGAAGGGCATCTGCGCGTCCATGACTTGCAGCCTGGAGGCCCGCGAGATCAGCATCGAGACCTGTCCCTACGTGGAGGCTCCTGGCTGCGAGGAGCTGCCCAGCGATCCCAACTGGCGGTTCCCCAAGTGCTGTCCGCAGTTCAAGTGCGTCGACTTCAAGACCGGCAAGGACTTTATCGTCTCGCTGTAGATCGGCTAAATATATATGTATATATGCATATGTATAGCCGCAACTGAAACGTGATTTTACATGAAATGTATTCGTAGTTCTGTAATGCCCGAAAGAAAGAATGAGAGAGCGAATAAGTGTGCGTGTGTTTGTGATCCATTCCTAATTTATTTATTTTAATTTGTAAATAACACATTATCTGCATAACTCCCCGTCCCCGTCATGTTTTCACGTGTGAACATAATTCAATTTGTTTTGATTTATTCAAAAGTCCCTGTATGCGATATTTGCAAGTATGACTAACCATCAACCAATTATGTTTAGTCCATAAGGTTTAAGCGAAGTAATAAAAAATCTGAAATATGCAAATGTTTAAGTGTTTACTTTGGCGGATTGGCTTGGATACGTGATTGGCAGAGTCATGTCCAAATTTGAACGTCTCCCGCAGTTTATTTGCGCAGTCCACCGGATTACGCGCTCTTCTTTTTTTGGACTTTGTCAATAAGCCATCAGATTATTGCCGGCTGACTCATCTTGGGATTATTTGTTGGACAAACATCGCCACATGCCGCATACAAAACGATCCGTAGCCGAGCTCCAAATACGATCAAAAGTTTATTGCTCGGAGAGTCCAACGGTTTGCCGACTTTGCGCCTGATGGGAATACTAAGTTTATTGCCCGGTTTATTAGACCCGGCAGGAAATGCCAGCTGTGGATGTTGCAAAAATATAAACTTGATGTTAGCTTTTAAAACCAATAAAGAAAAATAATTACAAGTCTACTACTTGATATGGTTTGTGTAGGTATTATTTTTAAACCTAGAAGCTCCTGGTCTTTACGACTTATTTAATGAACAATTACTTATTTATTATTAAGAGTAAGTAAGTATGTCTTACTTTAAGGCCCTATAAATTAATAAAGGTGGAAATTTGATATTTTAATGATTTAACTGAGAAAAAGTATAGAATTTGGCCGCCTTAAACTTTCAGATTACTACGAGCGCAAGATATTTAAAAAAATATTATTACAAATGTTATATTTTATTATTTAATATTTAAGCCTTAACACAAATTCATTAACCAATTTAATATGCACACAAAGTTGATTAATTTATATATGATATTAGCACTTTGTTTAAATAATATAACAAAAAATTTTTTTTTTTTTAAACTTAAGCTTATTGCGCCAAACTCAACTGTTAACCAACACTTATTTGGTATATTTTCGGCTGCAATTGATATTTTGCCTAAAGGGAAGAGTGGTATTCTGGAAAGGTCAATAAACAGGCACACTATTAAAGCAGGGCGTTTCTTTTTATTTACGTTTGTGAATTTGTCTTTTGTTTTTAAAAAACCCCGCATATTAGCATATAACTTAAAAGAAAATGCATTCCCATACAAATCTCATAGCAGTACTGCTGCTGACAGTTCTAATTCACGAGGGTAAGTGCTTCTTCCAGCAAAAAAAAACAAGTTTTTATGAGTAACCACTTACCTCAATTGTTGTCAGGCTCTGCGATTTGGTGCTACCGCTGCACTTCGGCCACGCCCGGCTGCGGGGAAACCTTCAACTGGCGGGGAATAGGATACCTGGGCGAACACTGCCCGGAACCGGACGATATTTGCGTCAAGCTGACGGAGCGACGCGGCGGTAAGCAGGAATCCCTTCGAACCACGTGACCTGGCCCAAAACCCTAATCCAAATCCCTTCCAGGCAGTGAAACAATAACCCGCGATTGTCTCAGCGCCCTGAACTTCCGTAAAGACATTCCCGCCGACAAATACGAGGGCTGCCGTCCCGCCGCCAAAGATGAAAGGCTGGCGCACTACGTCAATCACACGATCAAGGAACACGACGTGCGGCGGGACTACTTCACGGACACTACGTTCTGCTTCTGCTTCCTGGATCACCGCTGCAATGGAGCCAGTGGCATGCAGGTGTCTGCTGTAATGGCTCTCCTGACAGTGGCCGCTGCACTGCTCCTCCGCTAGAATATCCCAAGGAGTCGAGTGACCAAGTGCCTTACTAATGCATTCCACAAAGACGAATCTCGTATAACATGCGTCCGCACATTTTGTACAACTTTTTGACATGGCATTAGAGTCTTCTGCTTACTCCACTTATTAGTGCCTTACTAACGCATTCCACAACGAGGAATATCCAATAACATTCCGAGCGCACATTTTGTACAACTTTTTGACATGGCTTTAGAGTCTTGTGTTTACTCAACTAATTAAATACATTTTACCATATTTATAAACAGGAGTGAAATCGTTGCATTAGAGGACCTCTACATTCTTGGGCCCCCGATAATCATAGGCAGCCACCTCAGGATGGGCCACTAGGTGCTCCGAGTAGACTTCGGCCAATCGTAAGCACTGATCCACGGTCAGTTCAAAGGGGCGCAGAGTGTCCTGGACTTCGGCGCGCTGGAAGAGCTTTTCAGTGACCTCCTCGCGATCCTCCAGAGGGAACAGTGTGCCATAACCACGACGACAATACTTCTGGCGCATGCTAAAGATGTGCCGCACCACGCGCTCAACGAGACGAAACGGAAGCTGCGTCTTGGGACGCTTCAACGGCATGACCTTTACGACGCCCACATCCACCTGTGGTTTCGGAACGAACGCTTTTCCCGGTATGGTGAACTTAAGGACGGGCTCTGTCCAGACCTGCGACATCACCGACAACCGGCAGCGCTGCTCGCCGCCCGCAGGGGCACAAATCCGCTCGGCCACCTCCTGCTGGAAGGTCAAAGTCATGCAGGTGTCGATGCGTCGGAAAGCGCCACGTCTGGCGGCCAAATCCTCGTACCAATTGATCAGCAGTCGCGTGGAGATGGCGAACGGCAGATTGCCAATCAAATGGATCCGCTGCGAGGTGTCCGGGATGTGCTGCTCCATGTTGAAGCGCAGTATGTCGTCGTAGTGTATGTCGAACTGGATGTTAAGCGGACTGGCGCACTCCTTGAGAAGCTGTAGGGTCTCGCCGAAGCGGGGATCCTTCTCCACGAGCACCAGTCGCTGTGGCTGGCGGCGCAGAATAGATCGGGTGATGCCGCCCGGGCCGGGACCCACCTCCAGGACCAAATCTTTAGAGTCGATGCGTCCCGCCGACTTGACAATCTTGTCCGTGAGCCGCTCGTCCATGAGGAAGTTCTGGCTGAGCTGTTTCCTGGCCTGCAGCCTGTAGAGCTTCACCAGCTCCCGAATGGTGGGCATGGGAGGCAGGCGCATCCCGCTCTGAAGCACACGAGCACTTGCTTGGGTCATCTGGAATGGCAATGGTCTAGAAACTGGGCCAATGAAGATCTTAACTGAACTCACCCTGTTGTGCAACAACTTCAAAAGTGTAAAAAGGTGTGTAAAATGAAGAAAACGCTTAAGAACTAGGGGAAACTAACAGGGACTAGAGCTAAGAGGACACCTTCTTGGGCTCCTCGAAGTCGTCCAGGAACTTCTCCTGCTGCACGGAGAAGATCGAGTAGCCGTAGATGGCCAAAACAGAGACGCCCAGGGCGCCGGCGGTCAGGAGATTGTTGCGGCGAATGCGCTTCAACTTTTGCACGCGGTCCAGGTTCTGTTCCTCAATCAGCTTCATGAACTGCAGCTGCGCCTTGTCCAGCTTCGGAGCGCTATCCCCGTACTTGATCTTAGGTCCCTGCTCCGATGCCGACATTATAAACGCTGCTAAACGGGGTTTTATTCGTGTTTTCCTCGCCGATTAGGGAATTATGAAATCTCGAACACAAATAGTGTGGCCGCAGGCGACCGTTAGGATATAACAAAAATTGGCAAGAGCTAGGTCACACTGTTTGAGTACTATAGCCTGTTTCCACTGCATCATATTTTGAGTGTGGGGGATTGTTAGGGGTTTGGCTTTAATCAGAGCAGGACCAACTAAACATAACTTTGTTTTTATATAAAAGAGTACTACTGAGCACATTAATTATTGGACTTTTGACTTTAAATTCTGTATGTGCAAAAAAAATGTATTGTATGTGGCGCTTTTCCATAAATAATATATATGCAAGACAACTACATTTAAAAAAAAGTTAAATATCTAGTTCTAACGGTCATTATCATTATCTTTTTTTAGCAAGTTAGAAATTTCAAGTATTCAATGTGTGCGATATTACTATTATTTTTTAAATCACATCATCCCAATCCCCCGATCCGGCAGCACTAAAACTGTTCGGCAAGGTAGATCATCAGATGGCAACGCCAACAGTGCGTGGTATTTTTTGGCGCTCTCATCAAAGGTCCCACTAACGCAAGCTGCGCGTTTGCGTCCGTTACAACGAGTGCTTAGTTTAGTTTTCCTCTATTTGGGGCCCTGCGAAATTGGCAGTTCACTTTCGTTGGTGGCTCGAGTGCGACGTGCGGCAGCGAAAAACGCTTTTCCAGGCAGAGTGCGCCATTACTTGCCTGCAAGTCAGCCACAGCAGTTTATCGGTAATTGCCCTGCAAAGTGCGTAATTGGAGCTTGGGGGAAAACTGCGTTTTCCGTAATTCCAGAACGTGGTCCAATTCCACTTGAGTACAAAAGATTCGTGAGTTTAGTGATTCCTAGGCTTAATGTGGTAACCAAAGCCACGGCGACGACTTTGAAATGCGGAAATGAAAGTACAAATATTCGGTTGCGTGTTTGGGAAACTGCTCTGAAAATTTTACGGCCAATAACAACAAAGGCAAAACAAACGCGTAATTGCAGAAATCAGCTGTGTACCTACGGACGAACCAGAGTCAGAGCCCCAGAAAGAGAGGGGCCACAACACTCCGGAGCCCCCGCGACCCCCAACGTCCCCCTCCCCCACCGAGCAGGGAAACCCAACAGCTGGTCGTGGAGCCCTCCCTCTCGCGCTCTCATTTCCTCTCTCTTGCTCTCTGTCTTGCTCTCCACTTGTTTTTACCCTATTTGGACTAGCATTTGTTTTTGTTTTGGTTTCTATTCTATTTGGCAAGATTCGCCTCATCCAATTAGATTATTAAGAAATAACCTGCTGGGTTTTAGATTCAGATTTTTATTTTACTAAAAACTCTGAAAACTAAAACAAAGCAACTTTGAAATCAAATTCAAAATTTCAAGGGTGTATAAAATTAATTATTCCAATTTTCAAATTTGAATTCTGTATTCTCTGAACTTTAGTTTTTTTTCGTCCGCGTAAATCCTTTATTTATCTTATTAAAAATAGATATTTCAAAAATTTTGTATTCGCAGATATAATACTAATTTTAAAATAAATAATATACACAGAGAATTTAATCAATAAATATTTTTTTGTATAGCAAGGCTATTTTATTTTATTTTAGGATTTTAGTTTCCTAACTTGTTTCATTAAAAATATAAATGTTCACTAGCATTTTTTATTTTTGTTTCAAGCTCGAGCGAACGGAAGCCGTTTCTTTGTTGTTATATGGCACGTGAAAATTGCAATTAATTATGAAATTCCCTCTTGCAGTTAAATCAAACGCGTTTCGTCAACCGCCGTCCTCTTAACCAGTAAAAAGTAAACAAACAATACAAATCTACAATCTCACGCGAAAAACAATAAAGCGATCGTTCATAAATTAGTGCAAAAAGACAAAGGCATCCGATTTCGAGTCCAGATCCAAATCCAAATCCATAAAAGATGGCGTTTATTTCGAAAGATTTTCGGTCTCCGGGGGAAACTTGGATCAAAACTGAAGGCGGCTGGGAGCGATCCAAAGTGCTTGAGTGCGGAGGCAAACGGAAGCGGTAAGTTTACACATTTTCTTATCTACAAAAGACCTTCGATTTTTGACGTCCCAATTATTAAAATTTCTGTGCTGCTGCTGTAAAAAAAACGCACAATGCACAATTTAAATTTGTGAACGTTATTGATATAGTTTTTGATATACAATATTTAGGTGGGATATACAAAAAATAGATATAAAATAAATGCCTTGGTGTTGCCTTTACTTATGACAAAGTAAAACGCATTTAAATTCGTCGTTTATTGTTGATAGTTAGCTAAAAATACTGTTTGATTAGGAAAAAATATTATATACATATGTATGTATACAAAGTTTAAGTTATAGAGGTGCGACTGTAAGCTAAATGGCTAACAATACTTTTATGATTTGGCAGTAACTGCAGCTTCGTTTTTCGCACCTTATAAGGGCTTCTGCTGGCAATCTTTCACTCAGCCAATTCAAAAACTACGCTGTTTTACTGCAAGTGCGATAAGATAGTTTTAACGAGATACAGTTTGGTTAAGCAAATGATCAAAGTGGTTTGAACAAAGAAAAACCAATTCAATCGTGTTTTGATTTATTTATCACACTGTTATCAATAGGTTATCGAAAACGTACATATATGTATGATCAATAATATATTATAATTGCTGTGGCATTTGATTAGTCATTGTTTCTAGTCACGTTTCCATTAGCAAAAAATAGTCTAGAGCAATCAGCAGACTTCCGTATCGTAATTGATCGCTACATTATTGTTTTAAAATGTATTATTAACGTGTTTTCATTAAGCAAGGTTGTACATGCAAAATCTTATCAGTAAAGATAACGATTGACCTTGAGGTAAGTTGGCCTCGACACCCTTTTTTCTGCTTTTCTAGTATATATATATTTTTATATATCTCTAATATTGGCTGATATTTAATCGGCTTTATTACCGTTAAACTTTAAAGATAACACTGGGATTTGAATCGTCGCATTGTCTACAGTTTCACTGCCGAAATTTTTAACTCATTCAGTTTAATAGACTCGCTTTTGGGTCCAATGCCCATTGAATGCCATTGAAGTTGGCCAAAGCGAATCAGCAAATAATTGTTGTGGCTCAAACAATGGAGCTCACTTCCCTTCGTTGGTTTCGTATCGATGATTGCTTAAATTTAAGCCTCGGGCAGCAAAACATCATCAGACGTGTGACAACATATACGATGTATTTTATGCTCATGAAGAGGTTCGCTTAAAGTTCCTCAAATCGCAGTGGAATATCTTGATTTATTTAAAGTGTCATTTGGGATTGGTGATTACAGTTCTGCCTCAATTAAAAAGTGGCTTTCGGTGAGTCACTTCGAATGCCTGTGAAAGTAGCAGAAGTTCCAGCGATATCCGTATTCCGAGGCAGTTGGGTTGGCTGGGCTTTATCTCTGGCATCTGATCGATTGCTCATTTGATTGATTGCCATTGTACGCTCTAATGCAATTGGAAATTGCAGGTTGAACTTAAACTTTTTCAAACATTAAGACAATAGATGGTGAGACTGAAAACGGGGCAGGCAAAAAACCAGTCATTTTGTTGCCTATTCAAGTTCGGAAAAATAAGTTTTCATTGGTACATAAAAATCTTACTCTCACCCGTTTATAATGAAAGTATTGCGTTTAAAGGCCTGCGCATTTTTTTTAAAGTTTATTACTCATACGATCAAATAATTCATTTAAATTGACATTACATGTCTTATGAGTAATTTCTGCAATGCCTAATACTTAAAATAAAATTCGAAGACAATTATTGCACCCCAAAATATACCATTTTAAACTTCGTTTTAACTTATTTTTTTACCACTCTAATGAACATATTCAGTAGCTCAATACAAATTACCTAGAAATAGAATATTTAATATATGTATATTTCCACCATCTCCTTCTTTCATTATCAATTCCATATTGAGTTTAAAACTTTTATTTGTTTTTCATTTGACACGGTGATGGATTTCCATTATGCATGTATTTATGGAAAATACTTATTTGATGACTGATATATACCAAATCGATTCGATGGGGAAGTTGGTTGGAATAACGGAATTGGGTGGACGGAAGTGGGCGGTGCGGAACCTTGAGCTTTTGGTGCCGTTGCAAGCTCTCTCACAATCCCTAACTTTGGCCTAAACTTGACCGAGTTTAACGCCTACGGTTGGGAATTGTACGCTTGGCCCATGTATGGTTATATTTGTATGTTCCTTGTGGTTTTCGAAGTTCCCAAGGCTGATATTTCCCCGTCTATATGCCACACAAAATTGTTCCAATGGGGCTTAATATGCATTTGGGTACCCACCTTTAGTTTAGTTCTAATTTTAGAACACTTTCAAGTTTTAGGGGACTATATTTTTTGTACAGACGCGGTCGAAATAATAGAACCGAAAGAAATATTTATTACTAAATTTAAGTGTGATTAAAAAAACAATCTTTTGGCCCAACCTAAGTTTACAACAATGGTTTGTGGAATATTTTAGATTTTTAAATTACGGGTAAAAATATATTTAGCCTTGAAAGATATATACGGCTTACATTTTAGTGTTATTAGTTTGGCCTCAACTGTATATTCCTGCATGACTAGATCACGAGTGGCGTCATTTCCGCATTTTTCCCATTTACGACTACTCGAAAGGCCAAAAATAACCGCCCCTTCCATGGATTTGGTGCGTTCTTTATGACTTGTCAAAAGTGCACTTTAAGTTCTCTCTTTTTTTCCCTGACATCTTCCGCGTGTGAGTTCTATTCAAAGTTTTTACGATGTTCTGTCTTATGTAACTTCTCGGCTTATCTCAAAATAACACACGCATTTTGAGAGGTCAAAATCGAATGGTGTTTCAATGCCTCACAATCAGCAAACCAAGGTTTCGATTTTGAAATGTCTGAAATGCGCCGCAAGTTTCAATATTCCAAATCAAGTTCCAAATTATATATTTCCAGCAGTTTAATGAGGGAAGTGGAGCATACGTATTTGTCTGACTGACGTGACTGAATTTCCTCAAAATCCATAAATTGTATTACAATATAGTTTTCCTAACGGTTGTAAAACGTATTTACCAGGTTTATTGCCAAACTTGCGTGTTCATTTCGTAACCCTGTTAAGCACTCGTTTTTTGAGCATTACCCAACTTTCTTTCTGGTCAATTAAAAATTCAAATGGCCGTCGCCCGGCACTGAACCCATTAGATAATGCCTGAAAATAATAATTAGAAATGCCAGATTGCATGGAAAAGCGAATCCAAAGTGCACACGCGGACGTGCCAACGACTTGGACTCCACATCGTGGTCGTAGTCGTAGTCGGAGTCGGAGTCGGAATTGGAATTGGACCCACTTTCACTCCACTCTTCGCTGCACATCTGCGGACCAACGATCGCCCGCTCGCTTTTTGATCGATTTTCCTCTCTTTTCTTTTTTTTCCACTTTATCAAGATACATGAGGTCGCGGAAAATGGCTTTACATATGGGTGAACATACATTACATATACAGCCCACTCGCATGTTCGTGGTTGCTTTAAAATGATTGATGAATTGAAAATTTGCCTTGAAAAATTTTATTTAGACTCTGTTTAGAGATTTAATATGATTTAACTTATTAATCGTATAAAAGTAAGTGATAAAACTCTGCATTGAGATCTATATTGGTATCATCCATAGTTATAAAGTTTTGAACCAATTTATCTTACATTTCTTTAATGTAAACTTTGTATAATAAACTTTACCGATATCCAATCTTAATAGGCAAGAAAGTTACCTCCATGTTTTAAATAAAACTAGACTTGTTATAAAATTAAATGTGAATCAAATTTTATATGATAGCAAAGTTTCCCTTCGTGCTTAATACTTTTAAATGAGATTATTTTGAAAGTATTTTCCGTGATCTGTTTTCCGCCCTAAAAATTAAAAACAATTAACTATTTAAATTTTTTTATTATTTTGATTTCCTTTCTTCCATAAAATGCAACCCAAACTCATGCTCAAATGCCTAATTATATATTTTGCAACCAGAGATTTCCATTCGTAATGAGACGCAGTATCTCATCATTTGTGATGTCTTCCAATTTCTGCTTCTAAAATTAGAAAAATTCGAAGCGCTTTCTGGCTTCTTCACTGGTCCTCAACTCCATTTCCAATTATTTATGTCGAAAAAGGTCACAGGCGTAAAAATAGAAAAGCGATTTTCCGCTGCAACTCGTAGTTTTTCCCGCTGCGCCTGCCAGTCAAAAAGGGCCCCGCACTCCGATTCATTTGTTTAATTCGCTTGGAGAAAGGTAAACGAACGCTTGATGGTGACGTCGTTGAGTGATTTATATGATTCACGTGGTCGTGGTCTGCTGGCTGGATTGGATGATGGCCGTGGGCAGGGCCGGAGTTTTCCATCGGATCCGGAGATCCGGAGGAGAAGGAGGAGGAGGGATCCAGGGAGCAAGAGCCGCAGCTCGAGCAGGCGCAACAATTTCATTGTTCGTCAGCTATTTTTAAACAGATCCACAGATAATTGCACATTTACCTAAAACACAGCCAGCGACAACATCACGAATTTCGAGCAAGAAAACGGAAAGCAAAAAAATAATCAAAACACAATAATTGGCGTTGAAAATTACAATAATAAAGTGTTGGTTGGGATGGTCTGATTTCTTTGTTTCTTTTATCTACTGTGAGTAATGGCATTTGATACAATGGAGTTATCATTTTGCATGATAAACAGTTAAGCTTGACGCACAACAAGTATGTAGTAAATCTCATAATAAATAATGTTTATAGTGAAAATGCGTATTAATTTATTAACATTTTATTTGGCAGTTTATAGGACTAAGTGAATTAGTTTAGTAAACACATCTATATTTTAGAAATCAATAAGCGACCTTTTAACAGAACATTCTAAAAAAATACCTTTTGAACTAAATTAAGTTTCTACTTTTGCACAAGATTGTCTTTTAAACTGGTCTTAAATGCATTAAAAACATATGAGCATCTCCTAATGCCACTCAAATGAAATGCGAAAATATAATGCCAAAGCTGAAAAGAAAACCATAACAATAACAGATCATAGCAGCAACACATGGGTGTACAATGCACAAGAGCATTTTCTACATTACGTATACGGAATGGTGGCCAATAAAAGCGGTGACCTAGTTTGGACCAGGCCAACAACGCTTCTCGGCTCTCGACTCGCTCGGCTGGGGGCGAGAAGCTTTTGTGCCTTTTCTTTTCAAGTTCCTCGTTCCTCATTCCTCATTCCTCGTTTCTTGCCCCACTTTCCCGTCCTGTCTTTGATTGTTGCTCTCCTTGGAGCTTCTTTTGCCGCGGATTACCACTGATTACGGACCTAACTCTGAGCCAGAATTAAATTTACTCTGCTCTCGAGAAGGACACCCATGCCGTGGGCAAATACCTGTAAGACCCCGCCAGCCAAATCGATGCGCCTTGACCATTTGCGGTTGTGGATTCGACGAGGACACGTCCTGTCCTTGGCTGCCGTGAAATTGTTTTTGATTTCCCCCAAACTGGGTCAAACTGTGCTCGTATCTTGGGACTGCACTTTGTCTAATTGAAGTTTTCCCCCATAATTGCCTGGTAATTACATTTTCTTAGCTCTGGGTTTATAGTTCACAACTTTCAAACGCTGCAAATGTCGATTTTCAAGGTCGTTTTGCTTAATGGCATATTAAGTTGGATCTGTCTAGGAACTTAAAAAGGCCTTAAGCCACATCATATTACTGTTTAGTTCATAATATGACTGTAGTTTATTAAAATCTAGGCAGTGACATAGACTCGAACAAAATGCACTTAAAACCTTACAGCCTATAAAGTTATCTGATAATCCAAGACTTATAAAGCTTATGTACAAAAGATAGCCATCTGCTAAACGTTTGCATTTCCTTTTACTCGCAAAATAACACTTAGCTTCGCTCAAAATTGAATTGCAAATGTGTACAATTTCACAAATTACGCGACCCAACGCTTGTAATTGCATTAAACATGGCTAAAAGCTTGACACTCGGCTGGATTTCCTCTCCGAATTGCTTAATTTAATAACCGGTCAGGGCCGTAGATCAGATGGTGGGAAATTGGCCAGCTTCCGCCACTTGTAAGCCGCCAAAACCAAATGGTAGTTGCAATCGCAGTCCAAGAGTTGGCATAACACAACTGGCCAAACAGGTTAATCCCCCAAGTCGAGGGGAGAGCCATTGAGTTGGACCGAATCACTTCCGAAATATTGCATTGACAATGGATTATCTGGCCTAACACTGCGGAAAAACAAAATAATTTAGAACGGCTATAGCTTATAAGTATTTTATATTTCTTATTTTTTACCTTTTTAAAATCTTGGATTAGTTAAAAATTAAATTTATAAGCTTATAAGTATTGGATATTTCTTAATTGTGACCCCTTTTAAATGTTGTATTTGGATTAGTCAAAAATTTAAGTTATATTTAGAGTTTAACTGAATCGCTTTTGATACGTTGATTATAGATTATCAAAAAAAAAACTGAGGAAAATATATCTTATTTTAAAAACCTTTGTACGAACTTAATTCAATCCTTTTAAATGCATTATTTTTTTTTGAATATAAGTGACTAATTTAATTTAATTTTTTTACAGACATCACTCGGAGGGAAGTAGCAGCTACCAGGATGCGGGCAGCGACAGTTCGGAGGATGACGCGGTGATGCCACCGCACTACCACATCACCATAAGGTGTACCCGAGAGATAGCCGGCTTTAATGGACTCAGCGAGGCTGTGAAGCGTCTGGATTTTCGGCGATCTGTTCGCGACCGAAAGCGGTTCCACTACATCTGCGCCTTCCTCCTACTCGTGTCCAACAAGGGCATCGCCAGCCTGCCGGGCAGTGCCCAGCGCCAACTCCTCCAAATGGTCGAGGAGGTGGCCTCACATGGTCAGTAACACACTATCCAGTCCCCAGTTAAGCAAGCCTAACAATACTTTCTCCTACCCTAGTAAATGACAGTCAGCAGCATCCGAATGTGCTGCGTGGCCTGGCCCTGAAGTTGGAGCACATCGTCAGCCAGGAGAACCAGAAGTGCTGGGGCAAGCCCCTGGGCAGCACCTACCTGTGGAAGGAGCACATGGCCACCATCAAGCGCATCCAGCGCGTAGCCAGCCAGATCGAAATTCGAGAGGTGAGAGGGATATACTGAAAATATTCCAGAAATCTCTTAAAAACAATATATCAATCGAAAGTCTAATTTAGGTGCCCCAAAAAAACTTTTATGGGGATATTTCATAATTCTTCCTTTTTAACTCTTATTAATTTAAAGTACAAATTTCATAACCTTTCGAAAATCTTTATTTAGAAGTTTTTAGAGATTTTTCTAAGTTCGACCATACTCATCTATACCTTTTATTTTAGCCCGATCCGGAGGCCAAGCCCAAGCTGCACGAGCTGCCGGAGGAGTGTGTGCGGGAGATCATCCTGTGCATCGCTGACCATCGGGACCTGGAATCGGCCGCCGAGGCCTGGGAGACCATGGCCAAGCTGGTGTCCGAGCAGCGCATCTGGCGCGAGCTGACCCGCTTCCACTTCAACCAGCGCCAGATCCACACCATCCTCGACCTGGACAAGTTCAAGCAGATGGGCGAGATCAAGGACTGGAAGCAGATCTACCACCAGCTGCGCCGCACCTATGGCGTAAACGACGACTACCAGTTCGCCGAGGTGCTGGCCCTGTGCCGCTCCTGCTGCTGCCTGTTCTGGCCCTCGGACGGGCATCCGTGCATCGTGGACCAGAGTCCGGACTACAAGCAGCGCCTGGAGGAGGCGGGTGGACAGTTGGCCCTGGCCCAACCCGTGCCACCGGCCCAGTTTCTTAAGTACTTCTCGTTGTAAGCCGGCGGATCGGACCAAGGGAGAGAGATAGAGATAGATCGAAAGTATTTTTATGGAGTGGATAGGTTGATTGGCTGCGAATGAGAGTCTTTATGCGTGTGTTAAAGTTTTACCCTTGGAGAGAAGATGCGGGGAACGGATGAGGAGACGAGGTGGATCAGAAAAAGCAAAGTGATAAAGAAATCCCTAATCTATAACTACATATGTATGTACGTAAATCGCCAGGCTCGTTTCGATTGGTTTGCAGTTTGTCCAGGTTAAGGTTCAGATTCTAGTTCATCGTGGCTTCAGTTCAGTTCTTTGCCAACCCGTTGTATTGTTAGACCATCTACGTTTGAACCACAATCTGTGCAGGTCCGAAGATTACTATTAGTTGTGTAGACATATTTATCGACTCGCGTGCCAGTTGCCAGGGTCCAATTTTGGGTCGCTAATCTTTGAGGTCGGTGTGGTTATAGACTTATTTAGGACACGCAACACGAACTGCCACAAAACGAGAATAAGCGATTATTTTTTGTCAAACTGATTATTGCAAAACGTGTATCGAGAAACTATTTTTAAAGTACCAGTATATATAATTACCGATTTGTTCATTTTAAGACAAACGATAAATACACTTTTATGCATGACTTTTGAACGATCTATTGTAGGTTTTAAGTGTAGTTTCTTTTACGTATATCAGCTGCTTTTGGTGCTAAATCTTATTATAAGTTCCATTGAAACAAAATCAAATCAAAACCAACCAACTCTAGTTACCCCGTCCCCATTGCGATCCGGATTCGATCTGTAGTTCCAAGTAGAAGCCGTAGAGTGGAGGAAATCATGTGATGTTGCAGGAAGCAAAGCTAGAAACGAATACACCTACCTACACCTAACTTTAACAAATCTTCAAGCGATTTGCCGCAAAGCAATGCTATATACAAATATTAGAGATCGTCGCCAGTATAAGAGTGATTAAATGGAATGCCGACCCAGACACCAGATTAATTCTAACCCTAAGACAGATCGGAAGCCAAGTATTTCCCAAAAACCAAAACAGAACCCTCTTTGCTGCCTGATGGCCCCGTGCTTGATGAAACAGAACAGGAACATAGTTAATGTTAATGTGTATAGATACCCGTTGGTGGAAACCCCGATCCAAGCCTCATGATTTCCCTGTAAAATACCAGTTCGATCACAATAATTTTACTACACCTATTACTATTGTAAGTACGAAAGTTTTAGCATTCTCAATCATTTGTTTGCAAATATTTCTATTCGATATAAGTCTCTCATTTTTTGTTTAAAATAAACTTGCAAATATCTGTGGATCATTTGAATTGTTTAATTGGGAACAAGATTATTAAGAAGTATGCCATTTGTAAATCGGATGTCTGTAAAAAAAGTTATGGGCTTAGAAATGCAGGTTTTAAGTCATTTTTCAGCAAAGCCATTTTTCGAAAATTTGGAAAGGGGTTAGCTCATAAAAATGACTAAAAATCGACCCAAAAATACAAACCAAGATGGGTATACAGATTTTTATAGAATTAAACCACAATCATTTAGAAGTATGCCACTTTGAAATCGGATGTCTGTAAGAAAAGTTATGGGCTTAGAGTTGCAGGTTTTAGGTGACTTTTCGGCAAAGTCATTTTTCCAAAATTTGGAAAGGGGTTAGCTCATGAAAATGACTAAAAATCGACCCAAAAATACAAACCAAGATGAGTATACAGATTTTTAGAGAATTAAATTTCAATCATTTAGAAGTATTCCACTTTGAAATCGGATGTCTGTAAGAAAAGTTATGGGCTTAGAGGTGCAGGTTTTAGGTGACTTTTCGGCAAAGCCATTTTTCCAAAATTTGGAAAGGGGTTAGCTCATAAAAATTACTAAAAGTCGACCCAAAAATACAAACCAAAATGGGTGACAATTTTGAAAACCATTAAGCACCTATAGAAGCGAAAGACTAATTTCTGGTTTCTTATAATAGTAGATAAAATAACAGACATGGAAATATTGACCAAACAGACAGTTGCCATGGACGAAACCAATCATTCAAAAAATTGTCCTCACATTTATTGACTGCGAAGCCGAAAGGTGGTTGAGTTTTTCGGTTATATCCTGTTAAAAATGGAATTTATATTCAAGAAGGAGCGACGCTCCTTCGGAGCCCGCGTGAACTTCGAGGACAAGGATGCGGTGGTGTTCAGCGAAAACTCCAATCCGGAGCTGGTGAAGAACTACATCCTGCAGAACCCCGTGGACCGGGTGACGCAATACGCCGGACAGACCTCGCTGAGTGTGGCCAACACGGAGAGGGCCACGTACAAGAGCACGGGGATCACACACAATGAGGGCGGCTGGCCCAAGGACATCAACATGCACGATCCGGAGCAGACGGTGCGATACAAGCGGAAGATCGAGAAGGACGAGAATTACATCACACAGGTGATGAACCTGACCAGACCGATGGAGCACTACATCCACCAGAACAACGCGGTCAACATCTATGAGAACTACTTCGAGAATCTCGATCCCGCTCCGCTGCCCGAACCCTGCAAGTCGCGCACGGTCAATGTCTACCGCGATCCCAATCCCATCAAGGTGCCGGTGAAGCATCTGTCCTGGTCCCCGGACGGTGGCATCAAGATGGCCGTCAGCCACTGCGACATGCGGTTCCAGGGCGACAAGTCCAACCAGAAGTGCAACTCGTACATCTGGGAGGTGGAGAACCCCAACGAGCCATTTGTCACCCTGGAACCGAAGGTGCCGTGCGTCTGCCTGGAGTACAACCAGAAGGATCCGACCAGCCTGGTCAGTGGCATGTACAATGGCCAGGTGGCCGCCTGGGACACGCGACATGGCAAGCATCCAGTGATGATCAGCGAACGGGAGGTGTGCCATCGGGATCCGGTCAACTCGGTGCTGTGGAACAACTCGAAGAGTGGAACGGAGTTCTTCTCCGGCGGCTCCGATGGTCAGGTGCTGTGGTGGGACACCCGCAAGCTCACCGAGCCGCTGGACCGCCTGCTCATGGATCCGGTGAAGAGTGACGATCAGGATCTGTCGCGATCCTACGGCATATCGGTGCTGGAGTATGAGACTACTATACCCACAAGGTTCATGGCCGGCACGGAGATGGGCATGCTCTTCTCCTGCAACCGGAAGGGCAAGACGCCCACGGAGAAGATTCAGATACGGGTTGGTATCTGATCACTGATTGGTTGCTCTTAATGGCGTTTTTCCCTTCCCCAGATGATGTGCCACCTGGGCCCGGTGTATGCCATCACCCGGAATCCGGCCTTTGTGAAGAACTTCCTCACCGTGGGCGACTGGTGTGCCCGCATTTGGTCGGAGGATTGTCGGGAGAGCTCCATCATCTGGACCAAGAGTAGCAGCTCTATGCTGACCGACGGCGCCTGGAGCTACACCAAGTGGGTATTGATGTTCAGATATCGCATCATGATATACATACCGAATGTAACTTCCAGGGTCTCCCAGTTCTTCATCACCCGCATGGATGGGGTCATGGACACGTGGGATCTGCTCCAGCAGCAGAACGAACCGGTCCTCACGGTGAAAGTGTGCGATGAGCCACTCTATTGTGTCCGGACAAACGAGAACGGCAAGTTCGTGAGCTGTGGCAGCCAGTTGGGGGCCACCTTCCTCATCGAGGTCTCCGACAACATGGTGATGTCGGCCAAGAACGACAAGCCACTGCTAACTGCTGTAAGATTGGAATATCTGGCCTTGTGATTAAACCCCTAATCCAATGTACTCCCTGCAGATGTTCGAGCGGGAGAACCGTCGCGAGAAGATCCTGGAGGCCAAGTCCCGGGAGAGCAAGCTGAAGGTGAAGGCCAACCATGGCCAGGATCAGGGGGACACCATGATGCTCAACGGCAAGGTCAACATGGCTCCGTTCGAGGGAGCCTGCGAACAGGCCGCCGCGGAATATTTTGCGGCCGTGGAACAGGAACGCCAAAGGCGACTGCCCGGCGGAAAGCGTAGGTGAACGAAGGGGTTTTTCTTTTTTTAACGTTTTCCTGGAATTTCCACTTATTTGTTTCACTTTGTTTCCATTACAGAGGATGCGGAGGAGGCTGATGTGTCCGAGGCTGAGAGCTCAAAGCTTTAAATCTCCCAAGGAATTGCAGCAATACCCTGATAAATGTAATAAAAATGCGATGTAGACAGTACCTAAAAGTATGTGAACGAAATTTATCTTACCTTATAATAAATTTGTTTAAAATACAACACATTTCTTAACTTACAATTATTGCAATTCAATTTTGAGTTACTGTAATTTAACACTAATAAAATATTGAAAATTAATAAAAGGGAGTTTCATTCTCGATTGGAAAGCTTTTGAAAGTAATCTACTTGCATTGCCTGAATACACAGCGCATATCCGTAATGCCAATTTGATCTGGGTTCACATAAAATATACAACAATGATTGGGAAAGTTTCAAGTATATAGCTGAGTTCGCAAATAGTATGGAAACAAACGGCCGTGGCTATACTGAAAAGTCTTCTAGACAGCATGAAAAGCTTGTGAGTAAAATTATAATACCCTTTTTTAAGCGAATAATGGATATACAAATAAAAAACAAGAGAGAACGCTATAGTCGAGTGCCTCGACTATTAGATACCCGTTACTCAGCTAAACAACTTAATATAAATATGCCTTCTTGTATGTTTTTCGCCGCTCGAATTAGCACCTTGGCCAGCTGTTCCAAAGTCGTCCGTTAGATGGCGCTCGTGGTACCACGGGCCTTGAAAGGCGGAAATGTAGGCGCTAGCCAGGTTTAAGCGTTTAATGGGTTACTGGGCGTTAGAGTGGGCGTGGCAAATTTTAATTAGGCCAATCGATAGGTATTGACGAAATAAATACATATCAATTAAAATTTTCATAATAGCATCAAAACTGTGGCCACTGCTTGTGGCTTGTGGGCGTCAGAGGGGGCGTGGCACCATTTTGAAACAAACTTGCGCTGCGTAGGAACTCCTAAAATCTACATGCAAAATGCCAATCTTCTAGCTTTTATAGTTTCCGAGATCTCAGCGTTCATACGGACGGACAGACAGACGGACAGACAGACATGGCTAGATCGACTCGGCTAGTGATCCTGAACAATAATATATATACTTTATAGGGTCGGAAACGCTTCCTTCTAGCTGTTACATACTTTTGCACGAATACAATATACCCTTTTACTCTACGAGTAACGGGTATAATGATCTGATACGTTAAAAGCAAAGCCATTATAATATAATCCGAAAAAAACATAAAGTTCGTTTCGTTTTGATTATTAGTTTTAAAACATTCCTGATCGGATATCTAGATTCTAAGAGTTTTAAGTTGCTTGAACGCGACTAAAGTGCTATTTTTAGTATCGCATCTCTTCCCCAAAAATCATAGTAATGATACAATACCCATGAATCGCTATTATAAATTCAAACATATGCATGATAATAAATATTTATTTCTGAAATATTTGAGAGTTTTAAGTTGCTTGAACGCAAATAAAGTGCTATTTTTTTGATCGCATCTGTTCCCCAAAAACCATAGTAACGATTCATACATACATATGCATGATAAGGAATATTTCTATCTAAAATATTTGGGTTAAAGAAAAAATCGAGAATAAATTTAGAGTCAGTTTCGAGCTGACGTTAAACAGAACACTTCATTACGGATCTATATCTGAAAGTTTGGACTAGAGATAAACATTTTTTTTATTCTTGGAAGAAGGAAACGTGATAAAATTTAGTGCCCGAATGCGGATTGTGTAATTCTTTCTCAGTGCGTCACTTTTTTACATTACTTATACACCCTTATCTGAAAAAAAAAGTACTAAACATTAAGACATTAATTATAAAAGATGGTAAAACGTTCACTTTATTTACTTATACGAATGAAATAAATCCCTTCTTTGAACTTTATATTTTCTTTTTAAGTGAAAGTAAACATCTTCTGGAAACACTAAAGAAATGGACGAGAAGGGAAAATGTATTCTAACTGAGGACTGCGTCGTCGAAATAATGAAATACATCATTTCTGACTGCGAGTTGAATAGTGAGGCGATCATTTCAGAATACGATGATTTTATCAACTTCGTGCTGGCCGATGAATTTTTCTTCGAGATCCTTAGGGATTATTTTAAACGTCTTTACGAGAAGCTTGAATTTTCCCTTAAGGGAAGGATTACAAAGCTATTAATAGATCTGCGACTCAATAAGTTATCGAACAAGAGTAAGGAATTCTTCTGGAGATCCCACCTGCATGCCTTAAGAGAAAAAGTCACAATTTCTGATGTTGGATTAATTTTTGACCCTGATAAGAATGCAAGTCAACGTGTTCACGTAAAAATTTCTATATATGGTAAGTAACTTGACAATTTATAAAAGTAATAACAAATTATTAAGCCATTATTTAAAGGAATTTCGAAGGGTCTTGAACATTTCGATATGCTCACTGTAGCCAAGAAGATTCCTGCTGAAGCGTTAGTTGACATCTGCATTGCGACCCCCACTTTGAAAAGGTTGACCATCGAAAGCACAACCATTATTGGGGCACTTCCGGATATCCCATATTTCGATAATGTTGAGGAGATCAGAATTAGGTTGAGTCCCAAATGCAGTGCTAATCAATATGCACCACTTGCCAAATTACCCAATTTAAGAAAATTGATCATCTCTGGAATTATTCCCAGCACTTCTACATGGCTAATTTTCAACGATGTAATGAGATGGAACAGACCTGAAACTCTTACACCTTTGGCAGTGACCATTGAAGGTTGCTTAACCGATTTGAGACGGACTGTTGTGTTCGCCAATATAGATTCATTGCAGTACTTGAACATATACGAAAGTTTTGATGACCATTCATGTGTATTGATTGAAGCCAAATACAACTTATGCAAAATATCGAAAGACCCAATATTAAAAGAAAAATCTCTTGCAACCTTTATCTTGGGAAAAAATGTGCAAATTGTGTTCGACAGGAATAAAGGGGAACTTGAAATAATGGTACCCCAAACAGAATCGGACATGGCGGAATTTGCGTCACTTTTAAAACTGCCCAATCTAACCCACTTGGTTATAACTCAAAAAAGAAACAATACTAAGAATTTGACTAGACCAGGTCCAATTATTCTCGAAAACCTCTTTTGTTCAGATGATCCAGTACCGTTGACATCGTTCGTATTAGAAAAGGGATCAATAGATCGATCTGGAGCGGAGAAACTGGCAAAATTAAAAACCATTCGTCACCTTTCCTGTTCTTTTTCCGATTGGGAATCGATCGAGTTTTTAAATCAACTCACTAACCTTCAATTTGTAGAAATCAAAGTTCCATGGAGCAAAGCTGATGCATCCGGAATTTGTAACCTATTAAACATATGTCAAGTGACATCTGTCATAATTTTCGAACAGTTTCATTTAAGATACAAAAGGAAGGATCAAATTCTAGAGGTTCATATAATATACGGCTGTACCGACGATATGATAACTCCCCTTGCCCAACTTAATGGCGTTAAAACTCTGCTGATTTCAGGAAATCGGGATTATAGGTGCCCTGAACCCGTAAACGCACTCTTCGATGATTTTGGCAAAAACAATTTAAGTGGGATTGAGGACTTGGATATTTCACAATTAAAAATAATCCAATTTAAAGATATCTTTAATGTAACAAAAATGCAAACCATTAGAAAACTGAAATGTTCTATATCAAATTTAATTGGTATTGAAAAATTAGCAGAACTAAAAAGACTGGAAGAGCTGGAAATAACACGCATTGGAAATAGTTCTCTTTCGCCACTTTTCACAAAACTGGCTACAGAAAACAAAATTACTAGTTTACAAATTCATCTCGAAAAACTTTCACCTGAAGAAGTTCTTAAGGTTTCCGAAATAAGATCTCTAAAGAAATTTGGGTGTGGTTTTTTTGACTTAGAAGAAATACAATCCTTGTCAGAGTTATCCCATTCGAATATCGAAGAATTAACTATTTTTGGATTTCATCAGAACCATTCCCTACTGAAATTATTTTCAACATTTGCTCTAAACGGTAAATCAAAAATACAACACCTCCAAATTATTGATCAAAAACTTACCAACACAGAACTATACGAAATTTCTAAAATAAAAGGTCTCAAAGTATTAGCTGCGAAATTTTTTGAAGGTTGCATAGACGATTGTGTTGCTGCACGATTATTAAACATATTTTTTTCCAAGCCTTTGGAACTACCGCTACTGTCTTCTATTCAAAAATTAGATGTGAAAGTCTGGATTGGCTTCAAAGAATGCACCTATCTGGCTCAACTTGAGTCGCTGGAATCATTGAAATGCTCATTGTGCGATGATACCGATTCCGGATTGGAAGTCCTGGCAAATATAAAAAACCTAAGGGAATTGATTATAGACGATACAGCCGGTTCGCTTTGTAAACTTTACCGGACATTTTCCCGTAAGCCTGTATCAGTATTACAAAAACTGCATACAGTAGTTTCAAATTCTGATGAGATTGGTGAAATATCGCAAATTAAATCGTTGATTAAACTAAGTATTTCATGCAAAATAGGATTTTACAACTTACGAATAGCAGACCTCGTACAACTTAAGGAACTTGAATCATTAAATATAGTTAACTCTAATATAAATTCCGAATTGGATTACCAGAGCGTGCCACCAATTTTTAAATTTTGTAAAAAGCTCAATTTCGCCACATTCAAATTTGATAATATAGCGGCAACAAAATTCGTATACGAAGCTTACAACATTTTAAAATCCGTAAGGGATCCTGGTCTTCAAGCCCCATTACAACTTACGCTGGTCGAGGATTACCCAGAATTTCATGTAAGTAGAAGAAATAACAAACTTATTTGACTTTAAAAATTCAAATTTTTTAGGAAGAAGATATTGACGAGGCATATCTTAAGGTTTCCTATTCGTGCACAATTACAAAATTTAAGTAAGAGAAGAATCCATTACTGAAAGTTCAGTAAGCTTAGTTTCGTAAGAAACATTAAAAACTTTAAGTTACAATTATATATCTGAAGCGATAAAATAAATATTTTTTAAAACCCCTTTCGTTTTGCAACACTGAAGTTACAGTTTGGGCACAACTGGTTCTTTTTTGGAACCGGTTTCAGTTCTCACAAGTTCACGAGCCAC